AGCAATACGCTCGCGGAGGGGAGGGCCAAATTTCTTAGGAGCGTCGGATCTCAGATTCTATTTTGACTTCATCCCGGCGAAGCTCCTCGATGGCGGCCTGCGGGGGGGGCCTCCATACCGGGCCCAGCGGCTACACGCAACAGCGACCTTGGGTAAGAGTGACCTTTGGTGCGCAGCTTTTAGGGGGCCGCGGAGGGGCCAAACACAAGTGCGCACGACACCACTGCCGCCTCGCATTCGGCGATCGGGGGACCCCATTGGGCCCGCACCAAAGGTCCCGCTGGCGAGAGGTCACTCCTGCGCCTGGCGCGTGCGCGCGGGACACGAACTTTCACGTGTCCACGGCTTCCACCGAGGGACCCAAGTTGACCCGAAGGATTCCTTATAGGTGGAGATACGTGCGCGGAGGAGGAGACCCAACATACGCCTGTCGCGTGCGCGCGGGGCACGGATTGTCACGTGTCCACGGCCCCCAACGAGGGGCCCAACTTGGCCCACTGGATTTTCTGCAAGAACAAATGCTCGGGGGGGGGGACCCAACTTGCGCCTGGCGCGTGCACGCGGGGCACATACTTCTACGTGTCTACGGCCCCCGCGGGCACGTATTTTCACGCGCCCGCGCCCCCAGGGAGGTGGGCCCAACTTGGGCGCAGGGGGGGGGGACATGCGCCTGGCGCGCACGCGCGCGGGGCACGTACTTTCACTTGACGACGGCCCACAGTGAGGGACCCAACTTGGACCCGCCATAGTTTTCTCTGGTAAGGGCTCTGGCCCAAGGTTCTCTTTAGTTTGCGAACCAAAAGCCCTTCACCAGAAGGGCGTCGAGCAGCAGGCGTCGGAACCGGACGCGTGACAATACGCGTGCAGTGTGGGGTCTCCAACATGAGTTTCGGCACGCGTGCATTCGACATGTGGTTTTACGTGTTTCTGGCCACGACGGGGCCGCAGGCGAAGGATGCAACTTAGCCCGCCGGATTCTTCACACGTAAAAATGCGCGCGCGGAGGGGGGGGGCTCGCGCTTGCGCGCGGGGCAAGTCATTTCACGAGCCCCCGGCCCCCAGCGAGGGGCCCAACGTAGCACGCCGGATCCCTTACGAGTCAAAATGCGCGAGCGGAGGGGGGGCCCAACATGCGCCTGGCACGTGCGCGCAGGGCACGCACTTTCACGTGTCCACGGCTCCCAGCGACGGGGCCCATGTAGTCAGCTGGATTCTTTGTACATGCAAATGCGTTCGCGGAAGGGGGGGCAACGTGAACCTGGCGCGTGCGCGCGGGAAACGTACTTGCGCGTGTCCACGGCACCGATAAAATACGTGCGCGGGGCACGTACTTCCACGCGCCCACGGCCCCCGCGAGGGGCCCAACTTGAACCCGTGGGAGTGTTCTCCCGGCAAGGGCTCCAGACCAGCGTTTTCTTGTAAGGGCCTCCACGAGAAGGGCGTCGAGCAGTAGGCGTCGGAATGGGGCGCGTGAGCATGCGTGTGCTGACGGGGGGTAGCGGTGGCAGCCAAGCATAGGGAAAATGTTGCACGCGGGCCAGATTTGTCGACGATGGATGCGGGTGAAGTCCGACTGAGCCCGCCGCAAGCCCCCCGAGTCGACGATGTCACTCTGGGCCTCGCCCTCCAGGGACTGCCACTCGTCCAAGGGCCTCCTTGCAGCTCCCATTGACGGCAGGGCTGGAATAGGCGGCTGCTTCCTGCAGGCTAGAGCTCGAAGGCTAGCCATCTTAACCATCTTGGAATTTTAAAAAAGGCAAACACGGAGTAGCGCGGGCAGACGCACGAAGTGAGATCAGCGCCCGCTTTCTTCACGCCTTCGTCGATGTCCCTGGCATGACGAATGACGAAGTTACTTAGTGTTCCCAGACAAATCCCATGGACTTGTCCCAGAAAGCACCACTTGCCCGTAGAGCCGACCAGGGATCCCAGACCTGACCAGAGTGCCGGGAATCATAGTGGAGTCGCCTCCGATGGTCGAAGGTAGACCTAAGCCTTGAACGGCAGCGGACTCCTGTCTTTACAATTCGAAGACTTGAGACCGGGAAGTCCTCACAGTTGTGCAGGTAGACACTGCGCACGCTGATGTAGCAAGCCTCTTTGGGGAAGTGGATGATGGCACCAGTGGCGCAGGACTGCTGGATGATGTCGGTCGGACTCGATGCACACATCCCCATCCAATCACGAACGCGGATGCCAACGCCTGCTGACGAGCCGCCAGGCGAAGTATGAATGGCTGGGGATAGAACGACGTGCCAACCTTGCTTGCGAGCCCAGCCCGCTGTCCTTGGAATAGCTTCCGAAGAGTAAATATGATGACCTTGAAAGATAGTTACCGTTGTAGCAGACTGAAACAACCGCAGCTTGAAATAAACCCCACATGTTGCGTTGACCATCCCAACTGCCACGGATGATAATTTCCGCGCAAGGCTTTGCGAGGGAGGGGAGGCAGGGGGAAGGGCGCGGGTGAAGAGGGCCAGAGCGCTGACAGTTGATGGCTCCCAAAGCTGGGAATAGCACAACAGAGCTTCGGGCCCAACCCCGGGCTACCAAAACTAGAGCCCGCCACCTCAGGCCCAGCTCTCAGGGAAAACCAATCCTGGACGGGACCCGGGGACGTGCCGGAACCAACCGCATTCCACTGATTCCTGGAGATGTTGGACTGTCTATATACAAAAATGAAAGCGAGGTGGACGCAGCTGGCCTCCATCCGCACTCACACACTCAGGGGCGTTCGCTCAATAGGGCTGAAGTTGCCGAACCTGAAAAACTGGCCCTCGATCCAGGCCATATTATCTTCGAATCCGCATCGGGCGCCAGCGAGGATAAAGTGGACGCGGCCATCTGGCTGCAGCCTTGCCCTCGACGGGGTTTTACTTAGCCAGCGCCCCCCCCCGGCAGCCGCGGCGGCGATGGCACGGGGGCCCCTTTGCTCAGGTAGGGGCCCCGGCGCCGCGAGCAAGTCCGCTGAAACCGTAGCCGATGACGCTGGTGTTATGGCCGGACAACCTCAAACATCCTCGTCACCTTCAGCAGCTGCAGCGGGGGCGCCCGCCGACGAAGCCGAAACTGTGCCAGCTCCAATGATCTCTGCCAACGTAGCCTCCCCCTCGCTGTGTTGTTTCACATTTCTGGTGGGGATGTTTGATGTGACAGGCGAAGACCTTGTTGAGTTCCACGCAATATTTTTCTGGCCCGACCGAAAATCGCGTCAGTTGCCGGCGTGCTGCCGTCGCGGACCTGCTTCGCCCCCTTCTCGACCTCCGCCGCGTCCATGTCTAGGACGTCGTAGGCTGCCTTGTCGATGCCGAAGACCGACACCTCGCTGGACACGTCCAGAGAGTCCGAGGTTCCGTCCAGCAGGTCAGGGAGGGTAATCTGCATGACTTGCTGAGTAGCTGGAGCAGCAGCCTCTGCCTGGCACACCTGCAGGCGTAACCTGTCGACCAAGGACATGCAGTTGCCAACTTCATCGGCGAACTCCACGCACTTCTTACGAGTAGAACACTGCTGCTCGAGCAACCCAGCCTGCCAGCGAGCATACTGACCCATCCCATGTTTGAGTGTCGTTCCCAACTGCTTGATTCGACGGTCAACGTTAGCAGCCTGCGCCTGGAGAAGGACTGGTTCCACCGCTGAACGCCTAATTTCCAAACGTCCTTAGAAGGCTGCAGCGTCCGTGGTGTTGCCCATCGTCTAATTCAGAGATATCAGCTGCTTGAGCTCCGTGTCGCTGAGATGTTCCTGGTCACCAGAAATGACTGGAGCAACCACGCCCTGAAGACCGACAGCCAAGGCACCACCGCGCCCGATGTAACGGCTCTTGTGATCCCAGTCGTTGGCCCACGAACCTCCTGGTTTGGGGGGGTGTGCACCTTTAGTTTCCTTCGGTTCCCGCCGCACTGCTTGCAGAACCAGAACCTGCCGATATTCTTTCCACGGCCGCAACACCAACACTTCCAGAGCACGTCCGAGTGCCCGGGACCGTCACCCTTGCCAGCACGCTGCCAATGAGGACGAGACCAGCCGCCCTTTCGAGCGGGCGCCATGGCGGGAGTGCCGGGCGGGGAAAGTTTGCCTCTGATTTTGTCGTCTCCGCCCGCAAGGCTAAACCTCAAGCACCACGACACGGTACCGAGGCGGGCCCTGAGAAAGGGGCGGGCTTCCTCCACTCCAGCCTTCCCTCTGAGCCACACTTTCTCGGGGCGCAGGGAGGAGGAGGAGGAGGAGGAGGAGGAGGAGGAGGAGGAGGAGGAGGAGCAGAAGGAGGAGGACCATGAGGACGATGGGGAGGCGGACAAGTGGGTAAGGATGCGGAGCGGAGTGACGAAGATCAGTGGAGGCAGACGCGGAGGAGCAGGAGGAGGATGAAACGAACGACTCTGGACGATGCAAAAGAATCGGCACCCCGAGGCGCCCACGGACGCCTCAACCACCGTGATGGTGGCGAATCTCCGCCTCCTCCTCCTCCTCCTCCTCCTCCTCCTCCCCCCTCCTCCTCCTCCTCCTCCTCCTCCTCCTCCGCCTCCTCCTCCTCCTCCTCATCCGCCTCCTCCTTCTCCTCCTCCTCCTCCTCCTCCTCCTCCTCCCCGCCCTCGTCGTCCTCCTCCTCCTCCTCCTCCTCCTCCTCCTCCTCCTCCGCATCCGCATCCGCATCCGCATCCGCATCCGCATCCGCATCCTCCTCCTCGTCCCTCGTCCTTCTCCTCCTCACCTTCTCCTCGTCGATCCGCTTTCCTTGCCCTGCATCTCCGAACCTCCTCCCTAGTCATCCTCCGCCTCCTCCTCATCCTCCTCCTCCTCCTCCTCTTCCTCCTTCTCCATTCGCCTTGCTGTCTCTCTCACCCTTTCTCCCCCCCGCTCTTCCGACCTGATCCTCCACCCTCCTTCCTCCTCCCCGTCCCATAGCCACTCCATGGCCTGCATTTTGCCTCGCACCATGTCCAGCACCGCCGCCGAACATCACGGCTCAGGATGTGAGGATCAGAGGGCAGGGCACACTAGGAGCTGGGTGGCTGTGGGCTGTCGCCCACAGATGCCAGCTTCTTGAGCAAGTAGCGGAACGTGCTACTCGACCATGCGTAGTCTTGGTCCTCGACGAGGAGGTCCAACACGCGCTTGGCGCTAACGCGTCCTGGGAGCAGGTCGACCAGCTCGGCGAGGCCCGCGTGGCTCAGACACTCGCGCTGGTCGAACGGGCAAAAGATCATCTTGTCCACCGACGCGTCCAGCGAGCAGCAGATCCACTGTATGACGCACTTGAGCTCCGGGTCGCCCCGGAAGGCGCCGCACCCCCACAGGCCGGTGACGAAGCTCCGGCGGGCCCCCGGTCCTGCCGCAGCGGGGGGCCGCAGGGCCACGAGGCACTTGCGCACCTCTCTCCTGACGTTCGCGGGCTGGTACTGCTCGGACTTGGAGAGCTTGCCGTAGGAGTTGAAGCAAATGGCGTCCATGGCAACCGTGGTCAAATTGACGAGACGCTCGGCCTCGGGGACTGGCCGGCAGAACTGGTCGCTCCGGCTCCAGGTCTTGCCGCTGCACATGTTGTGATCGACATACCTCCTGAGCCCAGCGATCTCGACCGCCTCGAAATCCAGCATCCTCTCGACTAAGAACAAGGTTGCCAGCAGCTCGGGGCAGCAGAGGAACAGCTCCTCCTCCTGAAAGGTTGGAACTCCCCCAAGATCAAACCCAGAGGCGTTTTTCGTGACTCCTCAACGTCTCCTCGCCTCCTCCTGGCCTCTCTTGTCCTCCTCTGTATCCTCATCCTTGCCAAGGGCGTCCTCTTCCTGCTCAGACTTCTCTTCCGCAGAATGGTCCTCACACTCCTCCAACTCCTTCTGCCGAGGGTTCACAAGCGCACTGCTTCTGTAAAGGATATACTACAGAAAGTCGTCTGCCGGACTCGGCAATCGATCTGGCCTTGTGGTCGAACTGCAATTCGTCTCCTTCTTCGGGCGGTGGAAGCCCCAGAAAGTAAAACGAACAAAACACAATAACAAAGAAACCAAATACCCAGAAGTGAAATGCCCCAACAACCTCAGGACCCCCCTCCAGAAAGGAAGATCCCAATACTTACGCACTCCACCGTTCCACTGCTCCACCGTCCCCCGCTCTCATCCTTCCACTCCCTTTCCCCCGCCTGCCCGCCATTCTCTCCTCCTCGTCCTCCTTCCCCCTCCACCTACTCCTCGTCCTCATCCTCACGCCTCGTCAGACTCCTCAGGGGTGGACGGGAGGGAGGAGAGAGGATGGAGCAGGAGGGGTGAAGGACGGCGGCGAAGACAAGGCGGGGAAGGGCGGGGATGGGAGAGGTGGATGAGATGGAGGAGGAGGATGAGGAGGAGGAGGAGGAGAAGGAGGAGGAGGTGGAGAAGGAGGAAGGAGGAGAAGGAGGAAGAGGAGAGACTAGTGCAAAGTCGCCCTCCGAACTCCCTCCTAATGCTTCATATCCACTGAAAGTAATGCCCCGTTGGGGACAACTGTGTGAAAATCTTGGAGCGTGCCAGAACACCAGTTTCAGGTTCCGGACTGTCGCGCCTTGACGGTCCTAAGCAGTGCCAGAACAACATACTTGTGACCTCAAGACCGCGAATCAACGCAACTGTTGCGCCCTGACGATCCTGAATCGCTCCCAAACACCATTTGTGGTACATTAACCATGACAACCACTGAAACTCTTGTAAGTGTTTGAAACGAATGTGCGCGGCGCTGAAAGGAGAACCACAATGAGAGAAGGTACAGCCTTTAATCCGTGAAGCTCGTGCAACTTGTGAAAACAATGTGCGCGGCGCTACGGCGCGAGCCACAACTTGAAAACGGCACGCCCACAATCCGCAAAGCTCTTGTGACTTTTTGAAACGAATGCGCGCGGCGCTAAGGCGGGAACCACAATTTGGAAACAGCCCACTCTCAGTCCTGGAGTTCCTGCAATTTGTATAAACGAATGTGGGCGGCGCTAAATCAAGAGCCACATTCTGGAAGCGGCCAGCCCTCCATCTGCGAGGCGGTTCTCAGTCTTGAAGCTTCACGCTCAAAAATGTTAAGGAGGTGTCAGGCGAAACGCCCCCCCCACCCTTCCGACTGGCCTCGAAGGAGTTATCCATAAGGGAAATGAATGACATGAGAAGTGAGGTGTGGGGAATGAAGAGCGAGGAGGAGGAGGAGAAGGAGGAGGAGGAAGAGGAGGAGAAGGGAAGCGGCAAGACGAGGAAGAGAAAGAGGGGGAAGGCTGGGACAAACACAAACGTCGGAGCGCGCCGTAGCAGGACACGGGACATGCCAGAGAAACCGGAAAAGGCGAGCACGCACAACCCGACGAGAGAAACCAGAGCACGCGACACGAGTCGGGCGAACTAGCGCAGACGAAGGCAGCAGCAGGCCTCATCAGTGACAAGGAGGTTGCGCGGGACCCCCAGACACTCCCCAGTGATGGGGTCACTGCCAGCCTCCAGGGCCTTCAGGTCGGTGGCGCCCTTGCTTTACACGTCCCCAAGACAGAGACCCCTCGAATGGGGACCTGGCCGCACTCGGCTGGGCCCGAGAGCCACGCCGTCAGCGAAAGGCCACATTGCCAGCGAGGCACAACGTGTCCTCGGGCCGATGCGGGGCATGCGGCACCCGACGCGGGCAAGGGGCGGTCCGCCAGGGGCGCGTCCCTCGCCGCCCTGACGGCCCCGTGCCCTGGGCCTCCCGAGGCTCTGGCCCGCTTTGGAGGCGGTGGGCCCCCTGGGCCCCCAGGCCGCCCTGGGGGGCCCGTGGGTGGCGGGGCCCAGGATGCGCGGGAATCCCCCTGACCGCTCCCCGCCTCTCTGGCCCACGGCAGGCCAACCCTGGGGCGCGACGTGCTCGGGAGGTGAGGAGGCTCGGGCGAAGGAGCATCCGACGTGTCACGCACCGCAACCTTGGCGGGCGGGGTGCAGACATCGCCCAGGTCGATGTATCTCTGCTCATCCTCCGTCCTAAGCCTCACCCCTGGGAAAGGAAACAGGCGCCAAGGTCTCAAGACGCACCGCGCATGACTGGCGACAACTCCGAGGGCGGGCCCGCGGGCGTGTCGGGGCCCACATGCCCCAACACAGGCCCCCCATGGGAGGGTGAAGTATATCCGGTAAGGCGCCTCGCTGGAACAGTGCAAGGATGCACGCGCCACTTGCATGCGGATCTGCACTTTTCAAGGTGCCAGCGCGGGCAGGCTGTCTGCGGCAGGGCGAAGTAGGACGAATGTGAAATGCGCTGCACTGCGCACAGGATCCTACATATACAGTGGAACACCATGCCACATCGCACACTTGGGCTGCAACTCGGCGCCCCCTGTAAGCTCCCAAAAATCACAATGGTCAACCGAATGCATCACATGATATATTGCGTGCTCCGACCCCCGGGGACAAGGGTCGGAGACGAGGCCGAGCACGCGCCGGGCTGGTCGATCCCACTAGAACCATCACCGTCGGCCCACAGGGTCACCGCTTCGGCCACCCTACACTCAGGACGCCACGGCTTCCTCCTTCCAACAATCAAGCAAAGGCGTGGCAACGATCACACGTCCATTTCATTCCACGACGCCGGATGAGGTGCGGATTCTTGCTTGCGGGCGGTGGGTCTGCACGAGCCTTGGCCTTCGTCTCAGGGCGGCCAGCAGCACCATCGCTAGCGCCAGCAGCCGCAGCAATCCCCGAAACCCGCCTTCGACTCGACGACACGAAACGTGGTCTCGCCGCGTCACCGACCTCCGCGGTCACGGCCGCACTTCCAGCACGTGGCACGGGTGCCGAAGTTCGTGCGGAAGTCGCACGCCCACGCATCTCCGCCTCCAGCTGCAGCGCCTCCCGCTGCCGCAGCCTTAAACGGCGGGGGAGCTCCCGACGCCATGGCACCAGCGTCCTGGCCCAGGTGTTCGCCGTGGTGCCTGGCGTGGAGCTGTCGCGCATGCGCACGGCCGAGGAGGCCGCGGGCCTCACTTCGCTTGCGCCTCTCACACAGACCAAGCTGGCGAGTTGCACCGCTCCCCCAGAAAAATTGCACCAGCGCGCGCACCGAGCGGGCACTTGACGACTGGGGCCACCTGGCGCCTGCCCTACCGCTCGCCCACCGGGAGGGGGCACGGAGCCCAAGTGGCAGCCTCGGGGAGTGTTGGGGAGGGTGAGGATGAGGAGGAGGAGGAGGCGGAGGCGGAGGAGGAGGAGGAGGAGAAGGAGGAGAACGGAGGAGTGAGGAGTGAAGAAGAGGAGGAAGAGGAGGAGGAGGGGGGGAAGAGAAGGAGGACCAGTGGAAACCCAAGGGTCATCAACGATATTGGAGTGCACCCTCCCTCCAATCTCCCTCTTCACAGGCCCCTACAGCGGTTCATTTCCATTGAGGGAACTGGAAGACACCCGTTTGAAGATCCAGAAGCGTGCCAGAACATTGTTGTCGGGATTTCAACACCTCGTATCCATCTGACTGCTGCGTCTTGACGATCCAGGATCGTGCCAGAACGTCATTTTTTGGATTTCAACACAGCAAATCAACATAACTGCTGCGCCCGCATAGTCCTGAATCCTTCCAAAACACCATTTCTGGTACGCTGATCAGGGGAATCCGTGAAACTCTTGCATTTTTGTTTAACGAATGTGCGCGGCGCTATGGCGAGAGCCCCGTTTTGAAAACGACCCGCCCTCAATCCGTGAAGCTCTTACAAGATTTTGTATAAAAAACGAATGTGCGCGGCGCTAAGGCGAGAGCCACATTTTCAAAAAGAACCGCCCTCGATCCATGAAGTTCTTTCAAAGTTTACAATGAATGTGCATGGCGAGAACCACATTTTGAAAACCACCTGCCCTCAATCCGTGACACTCTGGCAAATATCATAAACGAATGTGCGCGGCGCTAAGGCGAGAATCACATGTTGAAAACGACCCGCCCTCAATCCGTGAAGCTCTTGCAATGTTTCAAACGAATGTGCACGGAACTAAGGCGAGAACCACATTTTGAAAACGGCCCGCCCTCAATCCGTGAAGCCCATGCAAGTTTGTATTACGAAGGTGCGCGGCGCTAAGGCGAGAGGCGCATTTTGAAAACGATCCGCCCCCCATCTGTGAAGTAGCTGTCACTATTACAGCTTCAGAATTATACGTAGTGAGGACGTCTCAGGCGAAACGCCCGGCCCGCCCTAAAATTTGCCGCGGGGTGCGACAGGGAGGAGTTATCCATAAGGACAAAGAATTGGAAAGAAGGAGGAGTACGGACACCGGCCGTCGTCCACCGACCTCCCTCCTCCACTGGCCTCCCACGGGGAACGGCGGACAACGGACGGACTCCTCACTACTCCTCCTCATGCTGCTCCTCCTCCTCCTCGTCCTCCTCTTGCTCCTCCTCCTCCTCCTCCTCCTCCGCACTCCTCGCTCATCACTCCACACTCCTCCCCCTCCTCCTCCCCCTCCTCCTCCTCGTCCTCCTCCTCTTCATCCTCCTTCTCCTCCTCCTCCTGCTTCCTGTCCGCGATATCGTCGTACAGACCCAGCCCCCCTCCTCCTGGTTCCTGGTTCCTGATGGCTTTACAGTCTGCAGACGACCCTCCTCCTCAGCCTCCTGCTCCACATCCTCCTCCTCATCCTCCTCCTCTTGCTCCACATCCTCCTCGCCCCCCCCCTCTCCCTCCTCCTCCTCCTCCTCTCCTCCTCCTCCTCCTCCTCCTCCTCCTCATTGTCCTCCTCCTCCTCCTCCTCCTCCTCCTCCTCCCTCCCCATCCTCCCCCTTCTCCTCCTCCTGCTCCTGCTCCTGCTCCTGATCCTGCTCCTCCTCCTCCTCCTCCTCCTCCTCCGCCTCCTCCTCCTCTTCCTCCTCCAACTCCTCGTCCTCCTCCTCCACCTCCTCCTTCTCCTCCTCCTCCTCTTCCTCCACCTCCTCCTTCTCCTCCTCCTCCGCATGGCTTCCCCTCCTCCTTCATCCTCCGCCTCACTCACCATTCACTCACAACTCCTCACTCCTCACTCCTACCTCCTCACTCCTCACTCCTCACTCCTCATTCCTCACTTCTCCTCCCTCCTTCTGCTCCTCCTCCTCCGCCTCCTCCTCCGCCTCATCTGCCTTATCATCTGTATAGGTCGCCTCCTCCCCATCCTCCAACTCCAACTCCTCGCCATCCTTTTCCTCCTCATGGCACCCTCTCCTCCCTCATCATCCTGCTCGCTCCCCACTCACTCCCAACTGGTCACTGCTCACTGCTCACTGTTCACTCCTCTCTCCCCACTCCTCACTCCTCACTCCCCCTTCCTCCTCCTCCTCCTCCTCCTCCTCCTCCTCCTCCTCTTCCTCCTCCTCCTCCTTCTCTTGCTCACCATCTTCCTCGTCCTCCTCGTCTTCCTCGTCTTCCTTCTCCTCCTCCTCTTCCTCCTCCTCCTCGTCCGCCTCGTCGTCCTCCTCCTCCCCACTCACTCATAACTCCTCACTCCTCACTCCTCACTCCTCACTCGTCATTCCTCACACCTTCTCCCTCCTCGTACTCCTCCTACTCTTCCTCCTCCTCCTCTCCTCCTCCTCATCATCATCCTCCTCCTCCTCCTCTTCCTCCTCCTCCTCCTCCTCCTCCTCTTCCTCCTCCTCCTCTTCCTCCCCCTCCCCGACCTTCGCCTCCTCATCCTCCTCACCCTCGCCTTCCCTCATCACTGTTTCGCCCTCATACCTCCTCCCTTCCCTGCCCCCCCCCCCCCCTGAGGAGGCGGACGAGGCGTGAGGATGAGGACGAGGAGTAGGGGAGGGGAAGGGGGAGGGGGAGGAGGAGGAGGAGAAGTGAATGGCGGATAGGCTGAGTGGAAGGGGAGTGACCTCAGGAACGATGGGGACGGTGGAGCAGTGGAACGGTAGAGTGAGTAGTGTTTGGGAAGTCTGTGCTTTTTTGCAAGTTGTGTGTTGTTGTTTATTTGATATGTGGCTGTTGTGGTTTTCTGTCCAGGGTCTGTGGTTTCACGCCATGGTGTTGTTGTCTTTGTGTGTTGTTGGTGTTTCACCGCCCACGAGGAATATGTTGGCAACTCCTCGACGAGGAGAATGCATGCGCAGCACCGGCTCAAAGGAATACATGTGTAGATCATTCACAGAAGGAGTGCAGGGAGGAGGATGAGGAGGATGAGGAAGGAAGAGGATGAGAAGGAATATGAAAATCATAGGATGTGGGGAAGGAGGATGGGGAGGAGGAGCGAGGAGGTGCGAGCGAGGGGGAGGAGGCGGACGTCACGATCAAATAGGAAACGCTTCCAAGGTAGATCTTGGGGGGGTCTAGGCTCCTGCGAGCCCCCTCCTCGCATCACCGCGCCTCCGAGGTACTCGTTCGCGAAGTCCGCCTGCAGGTGTTGCTCACCAACGAAGCTGTGTATCAGGACGCCATCCTGCTGCAGATCGATCGGACAGAACATCACTTCGTCAGGCTCTGGGATCGCGCCCATCGCCTTGCGCGTGATCGTCACGTGCTCCGCGGCCAGCCCAGCCTTGCCGTACGAGCTTGCGGTGTGAAAAAAGATCATCACGCCCATCAGCACGAAATTCTTGGAAGACCACCTGTCGCAGTCGAAGTCCCAGAGGCCAATGAAGCTGAAGACGGGCATGTCTTGAAGCAGAAGGAGCAGCTTAAACATGAGCTGTCGGCGCCCGCGCGGATTTCCTCGATCGGCGCTGAACTCACCTCCCTGTCAAGCGGAAAGTGACGGGGACGGCGCCGGAGGAGCCGCCAGGGTGACCCATCACAGGTTCGAGGAATCCGAGCGGAGCTCCGACGATTCATGCTCATGCCACTTCTCTTTCTTCGAATGTCGGAAGACTGGGCGTCGAGCTTGCGCTTGCCCCAGTCCCTCCGGTCGAGCGCCCCGAAGAAGCCCGCGGCCACCACCTCCACGCACTGCAGCCGCGTTACGAGGCGCACGCTCTCGGCGACCTCCCCGGCTCCGCACGGCTCCGGCAGCTGGTCGGACGAGAGGTCCAGGCCGCCGTCCCTGGCCAGGCACACGATGCCCCCGGGCGTCGTAAGCAGAGGAAGTGATAACTGAATGGCCATAAACTTTCGAAGGCTCCTGGCGGATGTCTTGGGTCGGCGCTGGGCCCCCCTCCCCCCCTCCCTGGCGCGCGCAGCGCGCCAGGGGCGGCGCCCGAGGCGCCGCCAGGGGAGGCCCAGCACCGGTCCGAGCACTGCGCGGGGACCTCCGAAAGGCTCTGCCTTTGTGCTGTGCTTACTTCCTCGGGCAAGGGCGTCCGCCAGCACGCCCGCCGCGAAGGCCAGCCCCCCGCAGCAGATCTCGCGGAACTCGCCCGGCAGGTCGGCCCTCAGGTCGCCCAGCGCCGCACGCAGGCCGCCAAAGCCCGGGGCCCAGCCCCGGCGCTGCGCGGGCCTCGCCTCGGCGCAGACCGCCGCGATGCCGCCCGAGAGCGCGTCGGCGAGCCGGGCGACCACGTCGCCGTCCGCCTCGGCCGCGCCGGCGGCCTCCACGTCGACCGCGAGCTGCCGCAGCCGCGCCGCGAGCGCGGCCATCGCGGGCCCCGGCGGCGCAGGGGCCGCGCTCAGGGGAGCGCCGCCGCGGTGGGCTCCGCAGTCGACCGGGCGGTACCGCGGGCAGCGCGCCGCTGGGCGTGCAGCGGCCCGTGGAGGCGGCGCAGTCGCAGCGGCGCCGCGTCGGCGAGCCGATCTCTGCGCGGCCTCCGCGCCGGCACACGATACGCCAATCGAAGAGGCTGCTGGAGCCGAGTGGCTTCCAGAAGCCCTGCATCCAAACATGCTGGCGTCTCACTGGGGCGCTGCTTCAAGGGAGAGCGACAGATGGGGGGGAAGTGCATTTGTCATATCCCTTGTGGGCCGGGCCCCAGAGAGGGCCCCGCACCGTCTTTCTTCCCCCCCCCCATCTGTCGCCCCCCCAATTGCGCAACGACTTCTCGCTTTAATGTCGCCATCCTCCCCAGCCGTCACGCGCCAGATGGCTGCGCGTGACGGGTGGGGAGGATGGTGGTCTAGTGCTGATGCCCTTCAGGGTAGGCATCGCCCTTTTTGTGTCGGTTGGGGCGCCTGGGCTCCCCCACACTTGTTGGTTGGTGCCTGTGAGGATGGGGAACCCCCACCTCTTATGGAGAGGGAGGCGGAGGGAGGAGGAAGGAGGGGTGGTGAGAGGGGGGGCGGAGGAGTGCGGGGAGGAGAGGGTCGAGGAGGGGAATAATCAACAGCAGCAGCAGGCTGGTGAGAGCGAGCATGGACACGATGGCCGTAGTCACTGAGTGGAGTGTCCCCAGATCCCTGCGAATTCTCTGCATACTGAGCATTGCCAGGCTACCCTGTTCCTGGCGCTCTTGGGCGCTCCTGAGGAATCCAGGGGATACCTGCGCATTGCCAGACCACCCTGTTATGGGCGCTCTTGGGCACTCCTGGGCAATCCAGGGGATCCCTGCGTGACTTTCCCAGGTGCCTCGGGGGCATGGTTTGGAGTCCGCACTTCCAACATTGCCTATTATGGTCGCATGTCCCATCCCAGAGCCCTCTTGGGAGTCTCTTCCGCCGTCTTGGGGGCCCTGGGGGCCAGCCCCCGAACCAGAATCATAACGGCCCAAGAGGCCCCCAATATCGCCTAAGGACGAACCCCGAGATCCCCAAGAGCGTCCACGAGCGCCGAAAAGGTCCCCAAGGCGGCCCCAGGAAGGGCCCAAGAGGTGGAACACGAACTGATGTTTCGAGCCTTGTCTCCCAAGATGGAACCAGAGAGCCCCCTTCAGGCCCCCAGAAGAGCCCTCCAAGAGGCCTCCCAAGAGCCCCAAGGTGGATTCTAAGAGGCCTCCTGCACACGATCCAGCCACGGTGGCGGGATGGGCCCGAGGCCCTTATCCGCCGCCCCTTGCTGATTTATCACACGGGTGCCTGACGTGCTAAGATTAAGGTGCTTGTTGGTTCATTTTGAAACACTCCCTGGGGCTTCGGCATAGCGCGCCAGCCACCAGGAACACGTCCACGGCAATGCCTTTCTCGCCCAAGATGGCCCAACATTGACTACAAGAGGCTTCCAAGACGGCCAAGATGGTCTCCAAGATACCTCCAGGACGGCCAAGGTGGCCACAATATGTCTTCAAAACGGTCCACGATGCACCTAGGACGGCCTAAGATGGCCTCACGATGGCCCAACACGTCCCAAGAGGCACCCAAGCAGCCCCTAAGACGGCCAAATAGGTCTCCAAGAGGTCCTCCAGGAAGGCCCGAAGAAGCCAAAATCATTGAGTTTCCTACGGTGTTTGTCGGGTTTGGGCATTTGCTTCAAAGCGGCATCCCGTTTGCCCCAAGACGACCCACCAGGCTGCCAAGATTGCCCCAAGATCGCCCAAGGGGCCTCCAAGATGGCCCCAGGAGGCTCCCAAGACGGCTCCCGACAACGTCAGAAGGGCCAGGACCGCCGTAACACGGCCAAGGAGGCCCCCAAGAAGCACCCACAGGCTCCCAAGAGGCCTCCAAGAGGCCCCCAGGAGGCTCCCAGGAGGCCCCAAGAGTGACCCAAGAAGCTGCCAAGAACTCTCCTTATCCTTCTCCTCATCCTCCTTGGTCCTTCCTCTCCGCATCCTCCTCGTCCTCCCCCACGTGCTCCCCGAAGAGCTTCCACAACGGCTGGGGGAACGCACGGTCCAAGAGTGTGGCCAAGCTTTGCCCGAACGCTTGGCCACATAGGCGTATCATACAAGGCAGGGGGCGGCGGTGATTCGCCGTAGGCGTCCTCGGCATGCGCCGACCCATGCATCGAGGAAAGCGCCCGGTGGCGAGGCCGACGCCGACTGCGAGCAGCAGGCTTCGCCCCTGCACACCTCCCTTCCACATCCCCCCTTTCGCTCACACTGGGGAGGGCGAGCGCCTGCAGCCAGGGCTGATCGCACAGAACGCCCCCGAGGACGCCGAGACTTCTCCGAGGGGAACCGGCACGCGGAGGGCACGAGACACGACGGACCAGACACGAGGGGCACCCTCGGAGGCCTCCCCGACGGGGTCCCAGGGCTGGCCCAGCAGATGGCGTCGGAGGAGCGCGCCGCATCGCCGATGCATCGGCGACGTCGTGGAGAACATCGGGCTCAACGCCGAGCCGCATCGCCGGTGCCTCGGAGATGCGGCGCGGCCCTGCGGCCCGCGTCCACTCCGTGGGAACCCTGGGGCACCCCTGACCTCCGCAGGGCCGGCAGCACCGGTCAGGCCCGACCTGCCTCGAAGAGCCGAGGAGTCAGCACAGTTTGGCCGAGCCCCATGCCCACTGGCGTGGCCCTGGCCCCAGGGGCCGACTTGCCCCCTCTTGGCGAGGCTCGCTCCGTCGGGCTGCTGGGGAGGGTGGGCCGATGGACTCGGCGGGGCCGATCCCCACCCAATGAGAAGGATCGGCTGCCGGGGCTGAGACACCATGGCCCAGCGGGGGTACCTGGTGAGAGATTTTGGAGGCGGCTGGGGGTTCTGAGCTGGATGGGCCCCGAGGAAGTCCGTGAAGAAGGGGGGACAAGGGCAAATCCGCTGAAGATCTGTCCCCAGACCCGTCCATCGGGGTCCATCTAGGCTGATTCCTCGCCCAAAATTAAATGTTGTAACGGCCCCGGGCAGGCAACAGCACTTCTCGAACCCCGAGCCTCGCGCCCCCCCCCCTTGAAATAAATTATTGCAGAGCTGATCTGTATGCAGTGTAGCATAAACGTGCTAGCAAGCAGGCAAGCAGCATGTGCGTATCTGTTTGGGCTCAATCCTTTTCAGGCCCCTTGAGCTTGGGCGTATCAGTAGAGACATTCGCTTGCCTCGATCAGCAAAAGTCGTTCGCCAGTCTTTGCATAGACCACCCATCGATTGCACAGCTGAACCTCACGGCTCTCATCGCTCAGAAACCCCTTTTTGCAACGTTAGGTCTGCATTGGTAGCGGAGCTAACTCGACCACGGCAACGTGCCCGAGTTCGCAGAGTCGATTGAGATCACTACAGAGCTCGTGATTGCAACTGGTACCTCTTGCTCTCCGTCGCCGCAGCATGGCGACTACTGGAGGAACTGCTGCAGCCAGCAGCGAGGACAAGAGCGCTGGGGGCAAGATCCCAGTTCCCGTCTTCGACGGCACGAGCAAGACAATGAAGAAGTTCCGCCGAGAGGTTGCCACCTGGCAGATCGGCACCGATGTCAAGCCTCCCAAGCAGGGGGACCATGCTCTTGGCGAGCCTCAAGGGGAAAGCTGAGGAGGCGTGCGAGGAGCTCGACCTGGACAGCATCAAGGGCAACGACTCGGTTGAGGTCTTCCTGACCTACCTCGGGGAGTGCTTCCCCGAGATAGAGGTGCTGGAGACCCCAGCGCTACTGGAGGCCTTCGTGAAGCCGGCTTGCGTCCGGTACAAGTTCGAAGATGTTCGAGATTACAACAATCGAGTCAACGGCATCGCCACGATGCTGTAGGCCAAGGGCATTACAGCACATGACGAAGTCTTGGAGGAGCTACAGCGTTGTAGGGCCGAGGACAGAATCGCAGACGATGCGAGTATCAGTTCCGAGGACTTCGGCGACGACCTGCCCGACGAGCTCCAGGACGCGCTCGACGTGAAGGAGGAGCAGGTGGCGTTCTTCACCAAGAAGATGGTGCGCGCCAAGGACGCGCCAAGGACAAGCCGAAGGAGGCCACGCAGGCGCGTGGCTACTTCGCCAAGCGAGATGGCGGATACCCACCGAAGAGGGACGACGCCAAGATCGCCAAGATTAAGGCGAGGACGCATTGCGGAGCTGGCCAGAAGGGGCAGCGCCTGAAGAAGAAAGCCCCAACGCCAGGGCCGACATTCCCCGCAAGGGGGCTAACATGACGAACATGACCACGAACGACGGGGCTGGCGACGCGCAGGAGCCCCACACGGCCGAGATGACGGTCGCGCCAGTCTATCAGCACGAGCAGATCAACGCGAGGAGAGCCCGCAGGCAAGAGGCGCTGCGCCAGGACGCCGACGTTCCCGCCGAGGTGACCGCGGCCCACCTCTACATCGACAAGGGCACTCAGTGCCTCATGGCAGCGACAGAATCGGAGCTCATCTACATCAGCGTCGCGGAGCTGCTCAAGGGGTCTGGGGGCAGGCTGACCTTCGACACCGCCTGCTCGCGGTGCATCGGGGGCCTGGACTGGTACAACGACATCAAGAAGAAGATGGCGGCCTTCAACATTAGCCCATCGAGCCTCCCGAGAAGGAGCCTTTCCGCTTCGGAGCGTCAAAGGTCACGCACACCATCAAGGCGGCGCTGATTCCCTGCTCGGTGAACGGCAAGGCGCTCACAGTCAAAATGAGCATCGTGCGCAGCGCCGTGCCTGGACTGTTCAGCCGCCAGGCCCAGAGCGAGCTGGACACGGTCTACCACGCCGGTGACAACAAGCTGGACATGAATTGCGTCAACGAGAACGACATTGAGATGAGCCTGAGCCGCGCCGGACACCCGACGCTGGACACCACAGGCTTTACCCCGGGCTACGGGCCCGTCCAAGACGTCTCGGATACCAAGGCCGAGATCCGTCTGCATTCTCGTGCGACTTACCACGCTGAGACAGCAGTGGTGGGCCCCGCCAAGACGGCGGAGCCCGAGCGCCTCGACCGAGGGGTCGACGCCTCGGAGGCCGACGAGTCCCAGTCGGAGAGTGACAGCAGCGAGCTCGACAGTGCGGAGCTGTTCCAGCAGCAAGTGCGCCAAGCCATGTGCGCATACATCCCATCGCGTCAATCGTCGTCGGGGTCGGAGGATGAGGCACGAGGGATCATTCCAAAGTCGTCCAGCGTAGTGCAGATCTCACAGCGGGAACAACTCATACACCGAGCCTGAGCAAAGACGTGTTCGATTTCAGCAGCAAGCGAGTGGCAGCTAGCTACATAGACAGCCATCAGCACGCAATTATCAAACGGCATCATCACCGCAGCCATGCTGCTTGAGTTCAACTCTGGCTCCATCAGCGAGTACGACGCGTGCCGTGGCAGATCCAGCCACCACAGCTTTCGACGATCCCGCGGCAAGCTCTTACGCCTCCGCACCAGCCATGCTCGACATCTCCCAAGGAGACGAGCTGGGGGGACAACTGCTCGAACACGCCGACGCCGAAAACTTCCCCGCCACCGGCGATCTCCAGCATGAGGCCGCCAGAGCTTCAGGCGGAAGTGGTAAGCTACGAGTTGGATGTGCGCGACGCAACGTCCGACCAGCTCCGAGTGATCGTATGTGCGCTGAGGGCCGAAGGGCACGACGCCAAGTCGCAGGACTGCATCCCAGGGCTGGGCAAGAAGCTCAATCCAGAGTTACAGCAACTGTGCAGGGAGAGTAACATCAAGTTCAACCAGCGGATGACCGTGCCGGAACAAAGGCAGCGCCTGACGGGCTGGCGGGTCGAGGACGCTGTCAGCAGTTCCTCGGACTCGGTGGCCAATCCGAGTTCGCAGATCAAGAGCGACCACAAGATGCGCTTCGGCAGGTACCCGACGGCCCGAGGGCCGACTGCCGCTGGGTGCTCAAGCATGACCTGGACTACTGCCACTGGGCGGTCCTGGAGCTCAACGTGGGGCAAGCCAGCCCGCTCCTGGCGCGCTTCGCGAGGTGGGTGAAGGCTCACGGCGTGGAGCCGCTCCCGGCGGACAAGGCCAGGACCACCCTCGAGGCGGTGATGGCCGAGGAGGCCGTGCTGGACGACGAGTGCCTGGCGCACGCGGCCATCACTGGCCAGGGGCGCCTCGAAGGGCCAGGGGAGCTGGGCGGGGGCAGCGCCGCGCGCGATCGCTCGAACCCCACGAGGTGGACACCGCCGACGTGGGCTCCGAGAAGCTGGGCGAGACCGACGGGGAGAGCCGCGCGCCGCCCACGGGCCCGGGGCAGCAGCCTCCGGGCAAAGTCCTGGGCGACGGCAGCCGCCTAGGGAGAGCCGTCGGCACGGGCCCCCGGCGGCCTGGCATCGCAGAGGGGCAGGCGCGTCGGCCTCCCCTCTCGGGCCACGGGCCTGCGGAGCGCCGTCGCCCTCCAGACGGTGCTCACCGCCGAGTGGCCGTCAAGGCCGCTCAAAAGCCAATCGCCCAGCACGCGCCGGGCGTGGCGCAGGACGTGGCGGAGCACCTGGAGAGCGTCAAGGAGGGTGCACGCCATCCAGAGCCACCGCGTGGACGTTGTGCAGGGGTTCGGCGGCGAGGGCGGCATCACCAAGGCAGCGCTGAGCCGCGACAGGACGGCCGCGGCCAGAACACACAGAACATCCAAGGGTACCCCCCCCAGGATGCGCAGGACCACCCGACAAGCACGCGAAGAGCATCAGGGTACCATCCTCGAACTGATCCCTCGGCCCGACCGTCTGGGCTTTCCGCCCCGCCGTCGCTGGCCTCGCTCTCGGCTCCCGGGGCCCGCCGCTGGGCCCGGAGATCATTCACAGGAAAGCCCAGGCACAAGACTACCCGCCCCGCCGAGCAGGTGTCGGGGGGAGCTCTGGGGCCGCGGAGCGACGACAAAAAAAAACACACGCCAGAGGATGCCTGGGGCTCGGCGCCGCCCGACGGGGGGCCAAGTCCGGCTGGAGCCCCACCAGATGGAGCCCCTCGGCTCCAGCTGGACTTCCGCGTCGCCCGAGCCCTGCCGCCCCGCCCCCGTTCACCACCAGACGAGCCGAGGGGCAACGCTAGGGGGGGGGGGGCTGGCAGACAGGGGAGTGGGCGCGCCAGCCTGGCGTCGGCGATGCGCCGCCGAGAGATTGGCGGCAGGCCCCGATAGCAAATCCGCACCTTCCTGGGCGGGGCGGGGCCATCTGAGCCCGATCGGTGGTCAGTGGGCGATTGGGGGTCGATGCACCCCCTGTGCCTATCCTCCACTATCTTTGCCCCTGATGAGCGCATCGTGGCCTCGGCTATCAAGCTTTGCCCTCTCCCTGGAGGGTCGAGGCCGAAGGTTTTGGGACGCATCTGGCCACCCCCGTCGTGCTTCCGAAGACTTTCAGAGGACCTCCGGAGGCCTCCGAGGGCACTGGGGTCCCGGGAGCATCCCCAGACATCCAACGTCTTGCAAAAATCAAGACGCCGGTGCTTTTCAGTTTGTGGCATCTGGGGGTCACCCTCAGGCTCTGGGGCGGTCGGAAAGCGGCTCGGGTGAAAACGCTGGTCCCGGGGAGCGGGTCGGGGCACCCCGGGACCCTGGATTAAAGTTGACATAACACTGGATGTCTGGGTCCACCATCCATTTCGTACGTAGCATGTTCCCTCCTCCGTCCTCACTCCCCCATCCCTCCTCCCTCCGTCTTTCTCAGTCCTCCTCCTCCTCCTTCTCCTCCTCCTTTCCTTTTCCGTTTTCGCCAAACAGTGCTTGCACTTAGGGAGTCTTATTGCTTTCTCTTTTTGCGCCTCGCAGCGGGGCGCTGCAGCGCGGTCTGTGCGGCGGGTGTCTGGCACCCCTGGCCGACCAGAACGGGAGCACACGGGAGGGAGGAAGGAGGGGGGGGGGGGGCTCAAGAGGAAGAGCTCCCTGGCAAGGAATGGCGGAGGGGCGGCCGGCAGGGCACGCGCCTCGCGGGGTCTGGTCTCCGCCGCCCATCGCGGCTCTCGCTCGAGCTCGGGTGGGGGCGGGGGCGGCCTGGCTGCGTCAGGGGACCTGCGCGAACTCCTCGGAGAACTGCCGCATCCTCTCGGCCAAGGCGGCCAGCAAGGTGCCCTCGCCGCCAGGCCAGGCCTTCGCGCCCAGGGCGTCCTCGACTGCCACCCGCTGGCCGGCGTCCACCATGCTCAACCCTGTGAAAGAAACGTCCACCACCGGGGCCTTCAGCGAGTCGCACCCGGCCTCGAAGGAGGTGTTCTGACTGAAGTCTCCGATGGATAGCGTACCATCCGCCGAGAGTTGCCCGTCAGAGCCCATCCACTTGAACTGAAACTTTAGCTTGAGGTTGAGGTCCCACAGATGCCGCGTGACTCCCCGAACTACCGGCTTGGAGGCTTCGCCGTCCAGGGCCTCCACCTCCGAAACCGACAGCGTGCCTCCAGATACCTCAACCGATGGAAAGTCTGCCAACCTCGCGCGCAACATCGACTTTGCTGTCGACGAGACGTCCTTGTCCTCCCACGTGCCCGCGGTGTTCCAAGCAGATCCGGCGCCAGGTTTGGAGGCGTCGGCGGCCGACGCGGCGGCCGCCGCGTCGCCAGTGAGCTGGACGGGCTTGAAATCCTTCTTCGGCTCGCCGCTGGGCTTCCACTCGCGGTGCCTGTACCAGGTCAGGTCCTCCGCCTCCTCGTCGTCGATCACGACTTTGTCGTCGCCCTTCGGCCGGGCGGGAGCCTTCTCGCCGTCCTGTTTCTGATTGCTAACATCTTCCTTTGGCTTGAGCTCCTCTGGCTTCTTGCACACCCGCTTGTGGAACTGCCAGTCCTCTCTCTGGCACTGGTGTGAGCAGTACTCTGCCTTCTTACAGCCACCGCACCGGAGCGGTTTCACAATCTCCTTGGCGCAGTTGCCACAGTGAGGCTTCTCATTGGTCTTCTTGGCCGGGGAATGCTTGGATGACGGCTTCTCGTCGTCCGAGTCCTCGATGGCATCGAACTTGGAGTAATCGACGCCAGCCCTCTTAGGACTGGCCGTGGCCTCGGCGCTCGGTGCTATCTGCGTCATCCGCGCACCTCGCGGGGGCGCCGCGAGACCCGCGAGAGACAGGGCGCGGCCACGCCCCCCGCGCCGGGCACCGCCCGGCTATCAGGCCGAAAACCGCGCCCCTTGGGCCAAAGTGGCTACGGAACACTTCGGGAATCTCGTGTCCGTTCTAAGGAACTGCGCGCGGCTGGCGCGGCTACGTTGCCGCCGTCGCCGCTCCCTCGCCGCCTCGTCGCCGCCCGTCGTCCAGGTCGGGCTGGCGGTGCGGCGGCTAGGCTGGCGCCGTCGCTACCCTATCGCCGACCCGTCGCCGCCCGTCGTCTGGGCCTGCATTCTGCGCAGTGGTTTTCATTACTATTCCTGGTTTGGGATCATCAATGCAGCGCGTTGCGTTACAATGGTCACGCGTTGGATGGTATCACTTAGATAACACCACACAGATGCTCAACATCGCTTACACCGCACACAAAAGTATACACAGATTGCACCACATCGGTTGCACCACATAGCTAGCACCACGCCGCGCGTCACATCGATTGCACCACATACTTTACACCTCATGAGGGTGCTGGAAATATGTTGCATCAAATTGATGGCACCGCAAGGCTTACGTCGCGGATACGGCACCACAGAAAACTCTCATTGTCTAAAACCAGAATAGACTCTGCCCCCCCTCGGGATTATCGACCCCCGTTTTTCGTATTGTGGTTTACATATGATTCTGCCCCATCGTCCATCCGAAACATGATCCCGTAACATCCCAGCCCAACCTGTATCGGCCTCCCCCGTCATCCCCCGCAAAAAAGTGTATGCGCGCGCGCTCGCTTATCAAACACCATAAGTGCTCAATAATCACTTGCAACGAATGAGGCGAAAAGCTCACGCGCGCGTCGTCGCGCGCGCATGCCGCAATCCTTAAAACAACGTAGATTTCGTGGGGTCTTCAAAATCAAATGTCCAAGAAACAAATAAAGATGAAATGGTTTCGCAAAGCGGATTTTCAATTACGCTACCGAGGAACCCCACATACTTATATTATGGCAGGATTGGTGATAGCTGTAGTGAAGCATGTGAGAATGATGTTGGTGGCCGTTGCCCCGCCGATACCGTTGGTGAGGCCAGTCGTGCATAGCGGCCGCGGTGAGAGACCACCCCCTGCGCACCCCCTCTGGTGTCGAGAAAGTGCCACGCCTGCTATGCCTGGACGACCGTCGTGCATAGCGGCCGCGCTCAGGGACCACCCCCTGCGCACCCCCTCTGGTGTCGAGAAAGTGCCACGCCTGCTGTGCCTGGACGACCGTCGTGCATAGCGGCCGCGCTCAGGGACCACCCCCTGCGCACCCCCTCTGGTGTCGAGAAAGTGCCACGCCTGCTATGCCTGGACGACCGTCGTGCATAGCGGCCGAGCTCAGGGACCACCCCCTGCGCCCCCCTCTGGTGTCCCACATAGCGGCCGCGCTCAGGGACCACCCCCTGCGCACCCCCTCTGGTGTCGAGAAAGTGCCACGCCTGCTATGCCTGGACGACCGTCGTGCATAGCGGCCGAGCTCAGGGACCACCCCCTGCGCACCCCCTCTGGTGTCGAGAAAGTGCCACGCCTGCTGTACCTGGACGACCGTCGTGCATAACGGCCGCGCTCATGCAGAACGACGGCCAGCTCAGACGAGCCATGCCGGCTCGAGCGCGCACGGCGGCCGCGCCTATGTCAGCAGGCGAGATGCGCTACGCGTTCCGCCAAGTGAAGAAGAAGGAACAGAGGGAGCAGCTCAACCGCAACGCCGAAGAGGGCATCCAGCGACGGCCGTGCGTGGTCATCGGGCATCAAGGCGAGAACACCTGGGTCTCGCTGGGAGGGCGCACCATGCGTGTGGCCCCAGTGCACATCAAGGCGCTCGCTCGGGACGACGTCTGGTTCCCGAACGGCAAGGGCGAAATCGGCCAGGCGGTGGCCGAGCTCAACGAGGCTCGCGTCTCACTCGAGCAGGAGGAGGCGCCCGTGGAGGATATCCGCCCGGAGCCAGGCGAGCCCAAGACCAAGCCAGACGAAATGAAACAAGCTTGGCGGGAATTCATTGACAAGCCCAATGACGACGACCTCAGGCTGGACTTTCAAGAGGACCCGCAGCCGGAGCAGTCGGTAGAGGATCAGCCCACCGAGCCACCGCCAACAGACATGGACGAGCAACGCTACGGCGCAGCCGAGTCTCGACGTCGGCGAGCAGCCGTTGACGGGGCCGACAGCTGTGATTTCGGCCCGGCTTTTAATCGCCTGCAGACCTCGAGGGAACAGGCGAGCTCAGCCGCCGCATCACCGAGGGCAGCCTCGAGTGACCCAGAGGCGGCGCCCAGCGGCAGCGAGCCCGCCGAGCCCAAATCAGAAGGGGCTCGACAGAGCTCACGGTCGGCTCCTAAAGTGGCGATGCAGACGTCCATCGACGCTGATAGGATCAAGCGCAAGCAGGCCGAAAAGGAGACCCACTGGGGGGCCATCAAGGAGTCAGACAGGGAGATCTTCAGGGGGGCGGCGGCCAAGCAGTAGAGCGAGTGGCAGAAGCGCGGATCCGGCCATGTGCTCTCCATCGAGGAGTCCGAGGCAGCCCGAGGCAAAGTCAAGGCCAACCTTTCCTTGCCTGGCCGGTTCGTCTACCTGGGCAAAACCGCGCCGCTCCGGACCGACAAGCACCCGCTGCCGGTCTAGGCCAAGGCTTGGCTATGCGTCGGAGGTGACATGGGCCCTTGCCTGGCCCAGGGCGGCTTGCGCACAGCCGCGCCTGCAGTCACCCGCAACACAACCGCGCTGTTCTTCACCGTCTGCCAGAGGTTCGGTTCGGCCTGGAGATCTACGCGGCGGAAGTGGAAGCTGCTTTCATGCAAGGCGACGAGCAGCCCGACCAGGAGCTGTTCATGGCTCAGCCCCGCGAGGGCCTACCTGGGCTACGCCCGAAGCAGATGATCAATCTGATCAAGAGAGTTATTGGTTTGGCTAAAGCACCATGACAGCACTGGGCGAAGCTCAAGCGGACTTCGCTCGTGGCGGAGGAGAAGATAAGGTACAACATCATGTTCAGCCTACGCCAGCACTCGCTGGATCCAGTGCCGCACCACGGTTACGACAAGCACGGGGAACTGCGCGCGGTGGTGGTCGTCCAAGTGGACGACCTGCTGCTGGGCATCTCGCCAAGTACCCTACTTTGTACGACAGTCTCTGCAAGCTTTTGCCGTGGGCGACTGGAGAGGTTTGCGTTCACATTCTGTGGCAAACAAGCATGGCGCGACGAAGAGGGCGTGATACACCTACGACAGACCGAATACGCGAACATCTGCGAGGGGATCGCTCTCAACAAGGAGCGCAAGATGGAGCTGAAAGCGGAGGCGACGCCGACCGAGTTCTCGGAAAGCCGCTCCGAGCTTGGAGCACTGGGATGGCTCTCACCTCAGACTCGACCAGATCTGGCCGATGGAGAGGCCATGGGGCAGCGTGCGCAGAACACGCCTACTGTCTAAGATTTGCTCGAGACGAATCGGCCCATCAAGCTGACGCGGAAGTATGCAGATGCCGGATAGGAATTTCCCAAATCACCTGGACCACTTTGCTTGGTTACCTACCGTGACGCCAGCTGGACCGAAGATGACGAGCCCGCCGAAGGTGCCATATCCAAGCTTATCTCCAAGCTGGTGGGATCGAGCAACAACGACAATAATATCAAGATCCGCTCGCAGGTCGGCTACGTGACGTTTCTCGCGGAGGCCAAGCTGTGATCAGGCGATCGAGCTCGAGCAGGGACCGTGGACCGGAGATCGGGCACCATCAAGCGAGTCTGCAGGTCTAATTTGGCAGCTGAGACGATGTCAGGAAGAATCGCTCTAGGCTGTGCTCAGATTACTCGTTGTGTCGTTGCTTCGCTAGAGATACCCGATGCCCGCCCAGAACACATCCCACCGAATTTGCTGCCCCTTGCTCAGGTCACAGATTGCGCTAGGTTGTACGATACGATGCACAAGGACGGTTATTCCAAGCTCCCGTCAGAGCGGCACCTCTTGGTAGACCTAGTAGGCCCGAAAGAGTCTCTGGAGGAAAAAGTTAATAACGAACCGTTGCCGACGATAACGTTGGGTTCGTACGGACCAGCAGCGCGGTGATCAGTTCACCAAGCGACCAGATGGCAGTGCCATCAAGACAGCGCTACGAGACACACGCCTCGCACTGCAGCATCACGAGCTGACGAAACAAGCTAGAGAGCATGAGGCACACATGAACAATGGCGGCTCGGTTTTCAAGCGCGCCATGCGCCTGGTTACACCTTAGTTTATTGACGTGCGGCTAACACGTCTAAATGATTTAAGCCGGTAGATGCCCAGATCAGAATAATGTTGCACGAGTGTGAAATAAATGATTGCATTGCTGATCTGTATGCAGTGTAGCATAAACGTACAGGCAAGCAAACAGCATGTGCGTATCTGTTTGGGCTTCATCCTTTTCAAGGCCCTTGAGCTTGGGAGTATCGGTAGAGACATTCGCTTGCCCCGGTAAGCAAATTACGTTCGCTGGTCTTTGCGTAGACAACCCACCGATTGCATATATTAACCTTACGGTTATCATCGTTCATAGACCCACCCCTCTTTGCAACATTTGGTCTACACCCCCGTTCCTGCTCGCCGGAACCATGCACTGCTGGGCGCCTTCAGACCCCAGCAGGCTTCGAATACAGTCAACCCATATAACAAGGACGCAAGATAAGGATGCAAGGGCCTTGGAACGCCATGCCGACACTCTGCGAGCGGGGCGCGGCCAACGAAAGCGGTCAAGGATGGGCCGGAGGGGAAGGATGCACGGGCAACCTTGGACAGCTTCTTCTCCTCTGCGGAGCAGCGTCGAGGGCGAGCGGCGGCAGCGGGCACCAGGCCGCACCCCGCTCGGACACCTGGGGCGGAGGAGGAGGACAAGGAGGAGGCGAAGAAGGAGGAGGGGCGGCCCCGCCTCGGCCGCCGCCGCGGCGCCGGCCGCGGGCGCGGAGGACGACGAAGCGTGCTTCTGGGCCGCCTGCACGTCTGGCGCTGCGCCGCCGGGGGCGGAGAGGACGACGGCCTCCTGCGCCGCGCGCCAGCTGAGGCGGAGAATGCCGAAGGTTGGGGGGTGGTGGGGGGGCGGCGGTCGGGGGGGTTTGAGGCTTGCGGGCTTGATGCTCGTGCGAATCCTATAGTACAAGCGCCCATGAAAGGGATCGAACAGGGCAGGGCTGTGTAGTACACGCCCGATGCCGTTTAAGTAAACGCCGATTGTGGTGGTCGGGGTGTTTTTTTCTCCCCTGATCCTTCCCGCCTCCCCTTCCTCCACCGCCTCATCTGCCCACACCTGACTGACTGACTGAGGGCATCATAATCCCACACCTCCTCCTCCACTTCCTCCTCCTCCTCCTGCTCCTCCTCCTCCTCCTCCTCCTGCTCCTCCTCCTCCTCCTCTCCCACACCTCCTCCTCCTCATCCTCCTGCTCCTCCTCCTTCTCCTCCTCCTCCTCCTACTGGTCCCCCGCCTCGTCACATCGTCCGCTTCCTGCGGCGACGCGGCGTTCCCGAGCACTAGACTCGCTGCGTGCTCGCTGGATGAGAGAGGGATGGGCGAGGAAGAGAGCAAGGGAGAGAGAAGCAGAGAGAGGGAGAGAGTGAGAGCGTGAAAAGCATATACACACACGCGTACACAACATAACGCAAGCACAAGCACAAAGACAACCACAAACACAATTACAAACAAAACCACGCCACCACACTTCCACACTTCCACACACACAGCACACACAGACACACACACATAATGAAGGGGAGGGGACCAACAAAAAAAACAGCGGCGTGGTAGCGCAGCATTCGCGAGTCTAAGAAAGATTGTGGGCAGAAAAATGATGAGAAGGGACGACAGTCTGGTCAGAGTGAGGGGGCCAAACGGTCATTCACTATCCCTGGGTGCGTGGCTGAATTGGAATTCCGCGGTGACGATTCTCGTTGATGTTGTTTGTTGTTGTTTGTTGTTGTTGTTGTTGTCGTCGTCCCACCCGCAACCCGCCCCGCGACCCACCCGCGACCCAACCCGCGACCCACCCCGCGACCCACCCGCGACCCACCCGCGACCCACCCCGCGACCCACCCCGCGACCCACTCTGCGACCCACCCCGCGACCCACCCCGCGACCCACCCCGCGACCCACCCCGCGACCCGCCCGCGGCCCACCCCGCGACCCACCCGTGACCCACCCGCGACTCACCCGCGACCCACCCCGCGACCCACCCGCGACCCACCCCGCGACCCAGCCGCGACCCACCGTCGACCCAAACCACGTTCAAGGTACACACCTCAATTTTCGGCGCCTGCGGAGGGTTTCTTTTTTGCATTCCTTCCGGGTGGAGAGCCCGCGACCCACCCCGTGACCAACTCGCGACCAACCCGCGACCCAAACCACGTCCAGGGTACAAACCACATTTTTTGGCGCCTGCGGCGGGCATCCTTTGCATCCGTTTCAGGTGGGGAGCCCGCGGCCCACCCGCGACCACGTTCAGGGTACAAACCATATTTTCCGGCGCCTGCGGCGGGCATCTTTTGCATTCGTTCCCGGTGGAGAACCCGCGGCCCACCCGCGACCAAAACCACGTTCAGTGTACAAACCAATTTGTTTGGCGCTTGCAGCGGGCTGCTTTTGCATTCCTTCCAGGTGGAGGTGGAAAGCCCGCGACCCACCCGCGACCCAAACCACGTTCACTGAACAAACCAATGCCGCACAAGCGCGGCGGCGGATTTTTGCATGCTGTCTGAGCCTGCAAGGACCTCTTCAAGCCCCGCACATCCACACCAGCCCGTCCAGCGACTTTGCCCTGGCGAGTTGCCTTGATCAGAGAAGTCGGAAAGCATAAAGTGGAACAACACATTGCGTTGCAGCTATCTTGGGAAAGGAGGGGGAGGCAGGAGGAGTAAACAGGAGACGAGGAGGACGCGGAAGAAGAGAGGATGTAAGGAGAAGGTGGAGAAAAAACTGGAGGAGGAGCGGGAGGACGAGGAGGGGGAGGAGGGGGGGGAGGGGGAGGAGGAGGACGAGGAGGGGGAGGAGGGGGAGGATGATGATGATGGACGACAATTGGAGGACGATGATGGAGGCCGATGAGGGGGAGGACGACAATGGGAGGACGATGATGAAAGGACGAGGGGGGGAGGAGGGGGAGGAGGAGGGGGAGGAGAAGGAAGAGGAGGAGGAGGAGGTGGAGGAGGAGGATGACGATGACGATGAGGACGAGGACGAGGACGAGGACGAGGAAGAGGAGGAGGAGGAGGAGGAGGAGGAGGAGGAGGAGGAGCGCCATCGACAGGGAAGGTGGGGGCCACGAGGTCCGCCGGCTCGACGACAGCCGCGTCGCCCGCGCCGGCCCCCTCACTCTTATCCGCAATTGCGGGGTGCTACGTTATTCCAGCGCAGCAAGCAGCCTTAGCTATGGAAGGCAGGAACATCCCCGTGCTTGACGACTCCGTATATGACAACGCTGCCTCCCAGCGGTGGGCAGGATCACCCGAGCCAGCCAGTGAAGGCACGTTACAGCTGCGCAGCGCTCGGGCTCCGACTCTTATCTGCCAATGTGTGTGGGTTGTTTCCAGCGAAGCGCGACATCTCCTCCTTCCCCCCCACCACTCGTGTCTCGGGGGTGGACAGAACCGAATCTATCCAGCGGAACGCACGTCGATTAGCGAAACCGGCTGGGGACTGCCGCGACCGCGTGGGGGCACAGGGCTGCTGTGCGCGGACCCCCCGCGCGGAGCGCATCCGGGGGATCGCGTATCAATACCCTTGCGTCCACACCGTGAGGACATGGACAAACGCGCGGGCGTACATTCTCGACGCTGGAGTTAGCCGCAGAGGTGGGACGGGGAACAGAGCTGACGGTCCTCGGAGCCTCCAATTCTGGTCGGAATCGGCGCATCCACCCGACAAGGCCGAGTACAGCATCTCCACGTACATCCGCCGATTCTGTCGGCTGTCTGCATGCGTGAGTGGCCTGTCTGTTCGAGTCGTCGTCTCCGTTAGTCGTCTTCTCCGTCGTTCCCTTACCTTGCGCCCTTCTCCTTTTAGCAATGTCGTAATCGAGTGATCCATTCCTTTTGATCCTTCCTTCGTCGGGGGGGGACTCCCAAGGGTGAGAGGGGTTAGGGGGGGTTGGGGTGGGGTAGGGTGGGGTTCAATATCTTTCCCAGCCCGCAAACAGTCTCGCTCACTCCCACCCGCCATCCCAACACAAAAGTAGGCACCGAGCCGCAGCGCGTGTTCCGCTGTAGTCTTGGATGGACAGCCAACGGGAACCAACAACAGGCCCCAGGTGCGCAACGTGGGGGCGAGGTGCGCCATGCGTGCCGGGCGCGCCGCGCGCGCTAGGCACCCCTGTGGCCCAAGCGTGCTCGGACGCCTGGTGTGCCAGATGCGCCACGTGGTCCAGGTACGCCATGTGTGCCGCATGCTCCAGCTGAGCCACGTGCGCAATGTTCGGGGCACTCGCAAAGCGTGCCAGGTGCGCCTGCGCAATTGGCAGTACACATCGCGAAACGTGTCGGCCCCCACCACCCTTGTCGAAAACCAGTGCGCAATCGCGACAGGGTGGCCATCATAGCGTCCAGTTGGCCTGCATATAGCAGGCAATATGCCAGCATCCCCGCTGTCCAAATCAAAAAACCAATGCACAGTGATCGCGGGATCCCCACGCATGATCCAGATGTTGCCTCGAAGTGCATCCTGTTTCCTTAGAAAAAGGATGCTGGCCTTGCGCGCAGCAAGCAATATGCGGTCACCCCCGCCGCCATTCAAAAAAAATAGCCTGGCGAAGGACCCAACCATATGCTGTTGTGAAAATACTGCAATTGTGAATACCATCTTGGCGGAGCCCGACATGCTCAGGGACACGTTCGTGGCCGTCTTCGCGGGCGCCGACGACGACAAGGACGGCGTCCCTCCCACCGAGGAGCAGAAGCAGGAGAGGGCCTTTAGAGCCATGAGGGAGGAGGTGGCGTTGCACGTCGACAAGGCGGAGTACGACGCCCAGGCGCGGTTGTTGAAGCAGCACAACTATGGGGCCACGATCCTCGTGAGGGATGTGCCGAAATGGCCCGGGGCCGCCATGCGAACCCTGCCACTGGCGCCTTCGGTGGAGCTCCCTATGGGGCCACGATCCTCGTGAGGGGTGTGCCGAAATGGCCCGAGGCCGCCATGCGAACCCTGCCACTGGGGCCTTCGGTGGAGCTCCCTATGGGGCCACGATCCTCGTGAGGGGTGTGCCGAAATGGCCCGAGGCCGCCATGCGAACCCTGCCACTGGCGCCTTCGGTGGAGCTCCCTATGGGGCCACGATCCTCGTGAGGGGTGTGCCGAAATGGCCCGAGGCCGCCATGCGAACGGCCACTGGGGCCTTCGAGCTCCCTATGGAGCTCCCTATCCATTCCTCGTGAGGGGTGTGCCGAAATGCCGAGGCCGCCATGCGAACGCTCTGGGGCCTTCGGTGGAGCTCCCTATGGGGCCACGATCCTCGTGAGGGGTGTGCCGAAATGGCCCGAGGCCGCCATGCGAACGCTGCCACTGGGGCCTTCGGTGGAGCTCCCTATGGGGCCACGATCCTCGTGAGGGGTGTGCCGAAATGGCCCGAGGCCGCCATGCGAACGCTGCCACTGGCGCCTTCGGTGGAGCTCCCTATGGGGCCACGATCCTCGTGAGGGGTGTGCCGAAATGGCCCGAGGCCGCCATGCGAACGCAGCCACTGGGGCCTTCGGTGGAGCTCCCTATGGGGCCACGATCCTCGTGAGGGGTGTGCCGAAATGGCCCGAGGCCGCCATGCGAACGCAGCCACTGGGGGCCTTCGGTGGAGCTCCCTATGGGGCCACGAAACGCTGTACTGGGTGGGTGAAACGCAAGGAAGATGGGGGAGGAGGGAGGGGGAGGAGGAGGAGAGTATGAGAGGAGACGCGGGCCACCGTCTCTTCAAAAAGAGGACCCAACACCACAGGATGGTTGGGAACAATACAAATTGCTCGCGTCCCCCGATCATGACCCAAGATTATGCCCCAAAAGTGGACTTCATGTTGTCGTTTGACAAGGGTGGTGGGGGGGTCTCATTGGTCCTGGTTGGCTGCCGGTCGCCTGGGAGAAGGGGTGTCAATCAATAGGGAACAGTGATACGAGGGGAGAGGGGGTCAGATACGCCCCCCCCCCCCCTGGGGGGCTCGGGGCCTTAGAAAGTACCAAGGCAGGCAAAGAGTGCCCCAAGAGCCCCCCGGGACAGTCCGAGAGGGCCCCCGATCTTCAAACTACCCGTCCAAAACGCCTTCACGCCCTCCAAACTGCCCAGGAAGCTTCCAAGACGCCCCAAGAAGTCTCCCAGGTCACCCACGTCCCATGAGGCAGAATTCACTGATCGTCTTTTGGTTTCTTGGACGGCCCAAGAGGCCCCCAAGATCGCCCGAAAACGGCCATCGAGGCCTCCAAACGGGGCCGCAAACAGCTCAAGAGGACCCAAAGACACCCGACAACGCCTCCAAGACGGCCCAAGAGGCCCCCAAGACGGCTCCAAGAGGGCTTTTTTTCTCAAGCGCACTGTCTTGGGAGGAGAAGGAGGAACGCCGAGGGGGCGATTGGCAACCAAGCGACGAGCCGTCACACGAGCGTCAGCGAATGCAGCGAGCTGGCGGGAAGCTGAGGTATTCCAGGGTCATCTACGACCGAACTCGCCAACGAAGGGTCCACGGCCGCAGAGTGCCGACCATGACGGGCTGTCGAAGCGCGAAGTGCAATCGCAATAACACGCAATCGACTCTGGCGGGAACTACTGGTCGAAATGAGGAAAAGCACAGGGAGAAAAAGCGGACAAGGAGGAGACGAAAGAAGAAGAAGAAGAAGAAGACGCAGGAGGCGGGATATACAAGACCCTCGCAAGGTGGAGGATTACCTTGCAAACTCCCAAGTCGTGACACGACAGTGCCGTCACAACGGTGTGGAGCTGTCAAGGCAAACACTTGCACCCCGTGGCATCGATCATAACGTGGCCTTCGGCTACAAGTGGTGAAGCAAGCTGCCGCGAGGATGGCTGACGCCGACCTGACGGCTGCTGAAGCGCGGACCGTGGAAGGACAGAGGGGGGCGAATGGACAAGCTCAGGACAACCTGAGGTCGGCCAACAACGGCCCTCGTGCACGCCACACCGCGCGGGCGTACGATGGCCCACCGAACGCCACCAATTACGAGGGGAGGGTGGGGGGAGAAAGAGGAGGACGGAGGCGGAGGACGGAGGAAGGGAGGGAGGGGAGACTGCACACTCTCGCCGAGCGCCCAGGGCCTCCACAGCCACGGATGCCCCAGCCGGATACGATCGACAAATCGGCACCACGAGCCCGAGGGAGGGGGACGAGGCGGGGGGAGGAGGGCGACGGAGGACAGAAAGGGGGAGATTGCACGCTCTTGCCGAGCGCTCTGGGCCTCTACAGCCACAATGAACGTGCCGGCAACGATCGACATATCCTTTTCCTGAAACTGACGGGGGGGGGGCAGGGCGGAGAGAGGAGGTGGAGGATTAGGGATGGAAAGAGAAGAGGGCGACTGCGCGCTCTTGACAAGCGTTCGGGGCCTCCACATCCGCAACCAGACCTGCCGGCTACAATTAACAGAAACGACGGGGCAGAGGAAGAGGGAGACGAACAGGGAGGAGGTTGGGGGCGACTGCGCCTCTCGCCGAACTTCTTCGGGTGGAAGGCTCACACTCGCGATGTGCTCTTGGAAGTGGTGATTCTGCCAGGCTCCGCGCGCACCAGCCAGCCAAGGGAAAAACGTAAAGTCACCACCCTGCTACCGAGCGCCCCGCGGCCACCATGCCCAGCTGCACGAATTCGGGGGGAGCGAGGAAGAGACAGGAAGAGGAGGCGAAGGCGGAAAGCCGGCCGGCCCCGGCAGGGTTAGCCGAAGCTCCGCCTCCGGGAAGCGAGCGCGGGAGGAAAGAAAAGGGAGGGGGAGTTGCGACCATGCGTGGATCCCCTGGAGCGCTCGAGCGGCGACCGCAAGGAGAAGGGGGAGGAAGGGGGGGGCTACGAACCACCGGCGACTTTTTCAGCCTGAAAGCGCTGCGTCACGCGAGCGCCCCAAGAGAAGCTGCGATGCGGGCCCAGCAGCGCGTGAGATACACCGCGCACGTAGCCAAAGCCCGGGGGCGCAGCTCCGGCGCGGTCGCCTCGGAGCACAAAGTGGCCATCAACATGAAACTGGCCATTCGCGTTTCTTGCGTTTCAGGAGGCGCGAGCCCCATTGAGGACACATGCGATTGAAGCTCCCCAGTCAATGTTTCGAAAAAACAGCTGGCGCGCCTTTGGAAACGGCGGACCGTGGGCCCGCCGCTCCACAGGCAGAGTCCTGATGCAGGCAGCGAGCGCCCGCGGGTGGCACAGCTGGGCCACCACGGGGAAGGCGAACATGGCGCGGTCTAACACATCGCGCGCGCAAGAACGCGCGAAGCTCTAGAGAGCCATCAGTGGCGGTCGAGCGCACGCAACCACGCTGTCAAAGCCTGCGTATTCGGTCCGCACTCCTAGCTCCACGGCGACTCTCGCGGGCGTCAGCCCGCGCCCCTCGACATGATGTCTGGCGGCGTTCAGCTGGAGCAGGAACGCCTACTGGTACCAGGGTGCCCATGTGCCCAAGCGCTCGCACGACTGCGTGGCGTGGAGCTGCACGCGGCGGAGCCTTGCAGCCCTTTCTGCGACCTGGAGGCCGCCTTCCGACGCCGCCTCCCGCTGGCAGACCCTGCGCTTCGCTGCCAGAGACATAGCGTGCAGGTCTGGGACTGAGGCGGGGAAACCCAGCTACGGCAGACCGCGAACGGCGGCCGGCGGCGCCCGCCGGCACGGCCCAGGGTACAACGAATGCATCGCCTCGGCCTCGAGCGTCGCCCACCACGGCGGCGGCGCGTCCAGTTGCGCCAGGAAACTCAGCGCGGAGAGCGCATACGCAGAATGAGACAACGTGCTGGCGCACATCCCGCCTCCAGAGCGCCCCCAATCCTGCGCGCCGTGACATCCTGTCGCGTGCTGTCAGGGCCCCCATGGCCGGAATGGCACCCAATAGGCCTTGCCGGGGTTCAATCGCAGACCCGAGATGGCAGCGTGGGCGTCGAAGGACGCCTCGGGCGCGCCAGCCGTAGCAGCGCCCGGCGGTAGGACCAGCGCCAGATCGACTGCAAGAGGGCTCCAAGAGGGCGCCCAGGCGGGGGACCTGAACGGACACGTCGAGCCCTCGGCCCCGAGAGGCCCCCAGGAGGCCCCTAAAGGTTTTTTTTTTTCACCCCCCCCCCAAACTTGCAGCGGATTCCGCCGGCTGGCTCGCTTTCAGGCCTCCACGTAGGCCTCGCCGTGCTCCAGCGCCATCTCCGCCCAGTGCTCGCCCACGTCGCGCTGGTAGCTGCGGTTCGGCATCCAGAGCTTTTCCCGTCTGCGGGTGCTTCCCAGCAAGGATCCAATCCCGCTTCTTGCGCTTGGCGTCATCCTTTGAGCTCTGGCCCCGCTTCGCCAGGGGCCCTGGGCATGCTGCCCCGAGGCCCGCTCCCCTCCTCGCCGAGTGCGCACCGCGCACCACGCACGCCACCGCACCACGTGCGGTCCGTGCACTTCGACGCGATGTACTCGCCCTCGTGCTTCACCTCCTGATTCGGGTGCTGCTGGCTCCCGTCGCTGCTGGCCTTCATGTGCCTCTGCTGCGGCTGCTGCCGCCGCGGTAGCTGCCGCGGCGATGGCAACGCATGCCTCCAGCGAGCCCGCTGAGCCCGCTGCTCTCGACCCCGTTGACATCCACGGCGGTGCCTGGCACTCAGACTCCCACAGCTTCTTTCTCATCCTCTTGGTGGCCGCACGCCGCCCGCAACGCTGGCACACAAGCCAGCCGTTGACCTCCTGCACCTCGTGCTTCGTGGGCCCGATCTGCGGCTTCGCCAGCTTGCGGACAGGTCGCCCCCGTCCCCGCTCTGGTACGTCTGGCCATTATCCTGCCATCTGCTGATGCATCCACCCTGTGTACTGCACTGCCCACCGTACTCTACGCGCAGTGTATTCTGACGTCTGGTGCCCCCCGTAGTAAGCATCCATCTGAGCGCCCGCTTTGGCGAGAAAGTCTACCTCTGCGTTGCCCTTGGCGATCTCCAGCTCGTTGCCTTCCAGCTGCTCGATCCTCTCCTTGCACCTGTGCGCCTTGACATGGTAGACTTCGCTAACGTTCAGGTCCGAGTCGTGTATAGTGTGCCATATTATCTTCCAGATGTCCGCGCGCGGCCGCGTTCAGTTGAGGCGAAAGCGCTCGCCCTTCTGCAGGCCTTCGATGATGCCTTCGTGATAGGTGTGGATCTTGCCGTCGCCCAGGTTCAGCTCCAGCACTTTGCAGAAGACCCGCATCTCCGCTCGCTTGACCCTTCTGTGTACTGGTAGGTTGTACGGCAACGGCCCCCACATCTGGCACCTCGGCTTGCCTTCTTCGTCGATCGACATGGCCGCCCAGCCCGTCTGCGCCCAGTCGCTGTATCCGGGCTTCGACCCGTCGCACGCGATGTCGCCAGGGATGTAGTCCTCGTCCCCCTCTACTGCCTGGTGCATGTACTGGCCTTCGTCGATCCCCACAAATTTCCAATCCGCCTCTGGGTGTTGCACGAGCCCCCGTGTCCACGGCAGGTTGTCCTCCTGCTGCTCCGCCGCCGTCTGCCACTCGGGCTGTGCCTTCAGCCTCAGCTCCCGGATGCCTGGGCACTTGTAGTACCTGTGGTGCGGGGTGCCCCCAGACTCACCGCACGCCATACAGATGTCCGTCGGCGCGATGTTGCACTGGCACAGCTTGCTCATGGTCCAGCTCCCGCTCACGAAGGCCTTCTCTGCTGCGTTCTTGGCGTGCTTCGGGGAATCTCTTGCGCGCAGCTGGGCCACGGCGGGGGCCGCGAGCAGAGCTGGTCTCAGGCTCTCGCGCTCCTCTGCCTTTGTCCAGGCCTCCCACAGCTGCTGCTGCACGTCCTTCTTAAGCAGCGCCGCCACGTCCATGGGGCACGCCTCGCGCATGTCCAGCTCGCGCCCGTCCTGCGAGATGACTGTGCACCGGGCTGGCCATGCCCACCCCGCTCGCCTCAGGGACATGATGACCGCCCCCGCTGGCCCACGTACTTTGGCCCACATCGGATTCATGCCCACCTCCTGCTGCTGCCTTTTCCACGCCTTCATCATCATGCCTTCGACGTTGCCCCGCTGCAGGTGCTCCCCTGTGCTTAGCGCAGCATGCCATGCCTCGCGTGCTCATCGGATGATGGGCGCCTCAGCGGCCTCGGAGGTTGGCTCCTCGCCAGCGGGCGCCAGCTGGAGCGTGAGGCTCTTCGCGCCTCTTCCTCCTGATATTGCGCGCCCTGCTTCTCGTCGCAGCCGTTGTAACTGGTGACCTGGCATGCCTAGACACTTGCAACCATGCAGCGCCGATCGCTTTAGGCCGCATTTGAACGCGAGGGCCGTGCCCGCCGCCATCTTGCGGCCTCGGCCTCTGAGGTTGGCCAGCCCCCATACTCCTGCTTAGCATGCCTTTGTGTTTCTTGCCGCTCTTGCTCTTCGCCGCTGTTCCGCGCGCTACCAGGTCCACCCCGAGGCATGGACACGCCCGCACGACTGGCAGCCCTCCCTTTTCCATGTCCTTCGCCACCGCCTTGCGCTCCCACTTAGTGCTGGCCATGACCGCTCCTTTGCCTTGGCTTCCCACCGAGAGCTTCGGGCCCAGCTTGCCGAAACCCTGGAAGCACGCGTCAATTTCGTCGCTCAACTCCTGCACGATGCGCTGCTGCTGCTGCCCTAGCCTCACGCACCGGCCGTCTACGTACATGCGCCACGTGACTCGTGGCGTGTCCACGACCAGGCCGTCCACCGTAGACTGTATGACCATCTTCAAGAAGCGCGCCGAAAACTTGCTACCCGCGATGATGGCCTTGACCGTTCTCGTCTCGCTGGACACCGCGTCGCCTACGACCAGCCCCCTCGCCATCGCAAAGTATGAACACACCGCTGCCAATACACCCGTGTTGAAGTTGAGCTGCCTGCCCGCTTCCCACAGCACGTGCAGGCAAACCTTCTCGAAGGCCTTGACCAGGTCCAGGACCGCCGTGATCGTAGCCTCCAGCAACTCGCTCTGGTCCCCAGGATCGCCCATCTCGTGACTCGACAGGACATCCCAGGCTGCGCCCCCAGCCGCCTTCTCATAGCTTGTGCAATCCCAGTTGCGCTGATTCCCCGTTGCCCACCTGATCATGCATGGCCCCCGCATGACTTCCCAGACGCGAGTGGTGGTGGGCAGCAGCCCCTTCACCCGGTCGGACGTGAACTACTTCTGTCGACTTGCCAGACGACAGAAGTAGTCGCCCCCATGGGGTCCGCCGCCTTTTCAGCCGTGTCCGCTCACCTGGGCCGCCAGACAACCGCCGCCTTGCTGAGCTTGTGAAGCCCTCCTGCCGCCCCAGCCGCTGCAACCTCCAGCTTGTCAGCCCACTCTGCCTTCCTGTCCTCTGGGAGCTGCTGGTCAACCTCCTTCATCCTGCACTCGGCCTCCTGCGTCCAGCACTGGAGGATCTCCTTCCTGCTCACCTCTCGCAGCTGGCCTGTGGCGATCATGTCGCACCTGGCCTGCCTGGCGCCCTGGTCCTTCGCGCCGATGTGCTTCTTTCGCCTGGGCCTCATTCTGAAGAGCCTCTCCAGCTCCGCGACCACGCGCCCTCGCTTCTGGATTTGCTCGCAATCCTTCGCTAGTCGCCATCTCTGGTGCGCCCCTTGCATGCCATGCATTGACCCGGTGATCCATCTCCACCAGGTGGCTGCCCTCGCCGCCGTCGGCACATTCCCGCCTCCGAAGTTGAACGCCTTCACTCGCCACTTCGGCTCCTCGGCCCTCCCTGCGCGTGGGTCGCTATGGTCCCAGTGCATGCCTCGCATCTGGAAGGCCTCTTTCTCGAGCGCTAGCATGTACTTTGCCCACTCCTGGTTCGCCTCATCCTGCGTTCTGAACTGCTTCACTTCCTCGTATCTCGGAGGTTCTGGCGCGCACCCTACCTGAACTTCAGGCAGCGCCTTGGGTTTCTCCAGCACCCTGATCATCCGCTCAACCGCCTTCAGCTTGATCGTCAGCCCCCCGGATGTGTGCGGCGCCGCCGGCCACGTCTCCTGAACCGCAACGTGCTGGATCTGCGCCACGACCGCGTCTGCCACCAGGAAGTAGTCGATCTCGCTGCAACCGTACGCATGCCGACACGTACCGCACACAGCGTTGGCCGTAACAGCCGTAGTCCTTGCCGCCTTCACGCTCTCGGCCTGTGCCATGACCTCTGCGCCACCTGGAAGTCACCTCCTATGACCCGCGGCGCCCCTACATTCTGCAACTTCCCGATCATATGCGTGATAAGCTGCGTATACTGGTATGTCATGCCTTCAGCCGTCCACAAGTACACGGTTGCCAGCACAACTCCTTTGCCGACCGCCAACCGCGCTGCTGCGGCCCCGCCAGGGCTGCTCCTTGGCGAGATCTCCCAGCCGTCCTTGCCGTCCAGATACGGCATCCCAACTCGCTTAGGCACTGCTATGGCCACCCTAGCCGAAGTACCTGCCTCGCCGCTGGGCCCCGTCGTTGCCACGGCCGCTGCGCCACCCAACTGGCGCCCTTGGGCTTTCATGCTCTGCGTGACCACAGCAAGCTTCTCGGTGGTGAGGTGATGCTCCTGCACTGCGTAGCACTGCAAACCCTGCATCTCCTCCGCGATAATTTCTTTGATGGTGCCCCAGCCCGATCCATTGTACGTCCACAGCGTCACTGTGTGGTGCATGGGCTTCCGCTTCCTCTTGTTGGGCACGCTAGGAACGTTTCTGCTTCTTTGCCGCGTGCTCGGCAAGGCAGTTGCGTACCTCCTGCCACCGCTTTCGCTGCTCTGGGCTTGCTTCTTCAGGTAGTCCCCCTGCTTGAAGCCATCTTTGGGTTGTGGCGGTGGTCGAGCTTGAGTTTTGGAGCGCCACCGCCCGACCCCGCCATTGGGGCCCTGGGCGGCGACTAGGAAGACCGCGAATTAAGCATCGACCTCACCGTGCTTAACTACTCCCATCTCTCCACGTAGAAGGACGTCGGGGACGGCCAGTCGCTTGCGTTCGCCCCTGTCTTCCTTTCTCCGGGACAAATACCGTGGAATTGCTGCGCACGGAAGAACCAATCACTCAGGCCCGTCTTGGGCGCGTTGCGGCGCACGCCAGGTGGAACGCGGCATCCACAAGCATTCGCTGGCACGCCGCATGCGCCCAAGATGGCCCCAATCCACTGCCGCGTCGCAGCGCCGCGCTGGGGCTCGACCAGGGCACGCGCCCCACCTGCAGCCGACTAGCGGGCCCAGAGCCTCCGTGGACCAGGTGCGGGCGCTACCGTGGCACCTCTAGTCCTTGCAAGTGCACGGCGCAATCGCTCGCGTCTGTCTCTGCAAAGCTGTCTGAGCCTCTCGGGCGGGGGGGGGGCCTGCGGAAAAGAGAACCTAGCAGAGCCAAGCGCCGACTCGGGCAAGCGAGAGTGCCACGTGCATCCTCGACGTCAGCTGCTTGCAGCTTTCCGGATCATTCCACTGCTCGCCAAACCAGTCCCTCCCCTACTGGCTACAGAAAGCAGCTAGACACGATAGCTTGCACCACCAGACGTCGACTACATGCATCGTGCCGCGTGCCTGAATCCAGCCCGCCTGCAATGCGAAACCCCGGTCTTATGCGCAGTGGCGGTGGGAACACGCGCCCCAAGGGATCCCAGAATGAGCGCCGAAAGTCATCAGGGTGACTTGCAGCAAGTTCTGAAATCAATCGTCCCTGGGTTCGGGAGAAACATTTATGCGCGCTGCAAACCGGCCTCTGGCCGAGAAACCGAAGTCCGAACCCCGCCCCCGAAAGGCCTCCGCGGCTGGCGCAGCCCCCCTTCAACCTCAAGCCGCAAGATCATAGATGGGTTGTGGTGGGGCCTCTCGGGAAGTCCGGCGGTAGTCGAGAGACCTGGGATAACTGGCACGTGTCCCCGTCGGACTCATGACACTCGGGGCGACCAGTTGGGTGAGTAAGATGGTGGTCGAGCTTGAACTTTGGAGCACCGCCGCCCGATCCCGCCGTTGGGACCCTGGGCGGCGACTAAGAAGACCGCGACTTGAGCATGGACCTTACCGCGCTTACTCCCGTCTCCCCCAACGTCGCTCACCCTACCAACCTCGCACAGCACCCCAGCGTAGCCCCTATACGTCAGGAGCTGAGAGCGGACGACACACGCATGGAGAACGCTGTCCTACGAGCGTGGCCGAAACTCTTTCCTTGGTTTCGGCGCGCGTGCTGCTCGTGTTCCTCTCCGCAACGTGGAGCAGCCTGCTCGCGCAGAGCGCATTCGTTTTGTTCGATGCATCATGCCATCTCATGCACAGCTGGGTACATCATGCCATCGGCGCTCATCGGCAAAGGACCCACCTCCATAGCGCATCGTGGGAGAGGCGCTCAAAATTGAAGGGCGCTACAAGTTCGCGAAAGTCCAACGACCTGACGCGCAGTGCTCGCGGACTACGGGGTCATCCAGACCTTCGCGGGGCAGCGCGTCTGCTGGGTTGTCCTTGCTGGGCACGTGCTCGATCCACACGCGGCAGCCTAGCGGCGTCAGCATGGCGTGCGCCTGCAAGGCCAGCTTCCCATGGTGACGGTTGGGGACCCTGCCTTCACCATCGCTGTGGCCGCGGCCGTGTTGCCGATCCACCACAGCACGTCGCAACCGTGAAGCAGATCAGGAAACGTGCCAGCGACGAGGACGCCGCAGTGCAACTCAGCCTGGTTGATCACGATTGCCTGTTCTCCCCAAGACTCGGGCAAGCAAAATTGCCATGTGCATCCTCGATGTCTGCTGCTTGCACCCTTCCTGATCTTTCCACTGCTCGTCCAACCAGTCCCTCCCTTACGGGCTACAGAAAGCAGCTGGACACGATAGCTTGCACCACCAGTCGTCGACTACATGCATCGTGCCACATGCCTGGGGCGCAGATTTGCAGCCTGCCTACAATGCGAAACCCCAGTCTAATGTGCAGCGGCGGTGGAAGCTCCCAGAATGAGCGCCGAGAGTCATCAAGGTGACTTACAGCACGTTCTGACATAAATCGCTTCCGGAGAACGATTGATGCACACTGCAAACCGGCCTCTGGCCGAGAAGCCGCAACCCGAACCCCACCCCCCAAAGACGTCCGCGGCTGGCGCAGCTCCCCTTCAACCTGAAGCCGCACGAGCATTCCCGTTCTTCTGCTGTAAGTTCAGGTCCATCGTCTTCTTGGTCGGGTACTGGTACTGCGGCTGCTGCAGCTGCGGCGGTTGCGCGCTGACCTGCCCCATCATGAGGGAGACCATCACCACCACCTGCAGCAGCCATGTCCACATCCTCTTGCCTGGCGTTGGCCCAGACCTTGCCCAGGACCGCGAAGACGTTCTCATACTCCTGCTGTGTGACCCTGCTGCCGTTGACTGCCGTCCCGAGCTGCTTCTGCAGGGCCGTGAAGAACTCTGGTGACTCACGAACTCCGAAGTCCTGCACCTTGAGCTATTGCTCCTTGGCTTTGGCGATATGCAGCTGTTCTTTCTTCTGGTCGTACTTGGCACGCGCCTGCTCCAGCTGCTGCTCGAAGTCCCCCGCACGCCAGGGTGGCCCCCAGCCGCCATGACGCGCCCGACTGCCGTACGGTAGACCGCACTGCTCGCCGCGGACCAGCGGTATCCCTTTGACCACAGGGGCGAGGGCCCCAGGTGTTGGTCAGCTTGAGCCCAAATGGCTACGGAGGAGGCCCCAAGAGGTTCCCATGAGGCCCACAAGAGGTCCCAAGGAAGCCCGAAGAGGCCCCAAGAGGCTCCCAAGAAGCTCCCAGAAGGCTCCCCTACGGCCGCAGAATTCTTCCCCAGAGGCCCCAGAGAACTTTCCGAAGAGACCCCAAGAAGCAGCCCTCAGGCCCACGTCAGCGTCGTCGTCGCCGCCGCCGCCGTCGTCGTCGTCGTCCAACTTCAAGGTCATCGCAATCTAAGTCGAACGATGTTTTGATCAGCGCCCCAATGGTCGATCCCCGAGCACGCTGCGAAAAAAACACATCCCACTCTTACTTCCCCCGCCCTTCGCCTGGGGACCCGTCGCTGTTGCATTTCCGCTAGCTGTGGCGCCGACGTCGAGGCCCATTCAGAAGCGCGGCGTATGGAATAGGAGGCAACTCCTTGGAGGTCTTTGTGAGAAGGATGAAAAGCTATCACGGCCGATTAAGGGGCAATTGAGCCAGACAAGGCCTGATTAAGCCCTGGATAAGCCTGGATTCCGCGGGCATGAGTCGGATTAGGTTGGAATATGAGCCGAATTCGGACTGCTTGGGACCAAGAACATGCCAGCGCGGATGCTGAATACAACTCCCCCAAGGAGGGGCGTCCAGGAGGGGGCTCGCAAATCATGGCCCGAGGCATGTGCATGGCCCAGGGGCTGGGTCAGGGGACGCCCTGAAATGAGAAGAGGCACCATGAGATCTTGGGGGACATCATGGCCCCAGCCATAGTATCCACCTCCTGGAGTCATCATCCCCCCCTCTTGGCCTTGGCCGCCCCCGAAGCAGTTGCAACCGAGATGATGAGTCCGTTGCTCGTGCACCCCACCCTCGGCTACACACAAGAGTGACCCTGGGTAAGAATGACATCTGGTGGGCGGTTTGGGGGGCTGTGCGGACCGGACCGACCACGAGCGCGCATGACGCTGCTAACTGCCGCATTGCCTTCGGCGATCGGAGGCCCCCGATGCGCCCGCACGCGAGGTCACTCCGGCGAAGGGTCACTCCTCCGTGTAGCCAGCACCCGCCGCCCCCCCCACCGCGGCGGCGGCTCCTCCTGACTTCCGCCCTGGGCGTCGTCGGCGTCGAGCCCGTCGGCGTCGGCGCCAGCCTGCCGCTGTCTCGGACGGGCCGATCCGGGCTCCGACTGCTCGCTCTCGCGCAGGGGAGCAGGGGAGCTCGGAGGGTGTCGGAGGGGCAGGGGCCACGTTGGCCATGGAAACGGTAGGGCCGTTTCAGTTATATACAGGTCCAAATATGCCGTTTCTGTTGCCGGTTCGGGCGCAAATGTTTCCCGGTCCCGATTCCTGTTCCAATCCCGGGGCCGTTCATGTGCCGTTTCTGGTCGCCGTTGTTTACCGCCTCGATGCTCAAGGACCCATTTTCCGGAAATGGTGGACACACGGCCCTGCCGCTTCCGCGGCCAACTAAGACCAGGGGGTCCTCCGTCCACTTGCGTCGTGAACGAAGAACCATTGGCCTTGTCTGACAAGTTTCGGCTGCACGCAAGAGTGACCCCAGGAAAGACAGTGACGTTTGGTGCGCATCTGTAGGGGCCGCGGGGTGGGCAGAATCCAATCGCGCATGCCAATGCTGGGGAGATCTCAATGGGCCCGCACCAAAGGTCACTCCGGCGAGATGTCACTAGCGTGCCTAACCTCAATTTTGGTGTCTGGTGGCCCTCCCCGGGCCTGGGGAACGCAAAAACAGCTCGGGATGAAGAGACGGTCCCATCGAATGGGTCGAGACTTCCGCGGGCCCACGCGCCAAGGAAAGAATCACGACGTCGGATGTCGGGGTCGGCCTCCAACTCCCCAGGCAGGGAAGAGGGACGGGGAAGAGGAGGGAGGACGAGAAGAAGATGGAGACGGACGAACCTCGAAGACATGGGCGCAACGGGCTCGGAATGGAGCTTGGATGTGCGCAAACTAACGTAGAATCCCGATCGCCCCTGGGTTCAGCAGAGGCCGTGCCGCAGGCGAAAAACGCGCACGACGCGCGGGAGCCGCGCGCCAGGCGGCTCCAGAGCGCAGGCGGCTCCAGTGCCGCCCGCCGCAGGAGGACAGGGGGGGAAGGGGAAGGGGAGGGCCCGCACAGGGACAGCATGTAGTCCCCAAGCCGTTGAGCAGCTTGGGGTGCAATTGTGGCAGAAGCCAGTTCCCCCCAAGGGACCTCCTCGACGAGACATCCTCAAACAAGTGTTAGCCAGCGTGGACCCAAAACAGTAACTGAATACACTCTGGATGGGCAGGCTTTGTGGTGCAACGATGCGGTGCAAGCTATGCGGTGTAAGCTCTGTGGTGCGAGCTATGCGGTGCGAGCCATCTGGCGCAAGCTATGCCATGCAATCTGCGTGGTGCAAGCTGTGTGGTCAAAGCTATGAGGTGCAAGCTTTATTGAGTACACTATGTAGTGGAATATACGTGGTGCAAGCTATGGGGTATGAGCTGTGTGGTGCAAGCTAGGTCGTGCAGTATGTGTGGTGCAAGCCATGTTGGGCAAACTCTGTGGCGTATGCTGTGTGTCTTCCATCCACTTGCATGGTTCCCAAACAGTGCCTGCGCTTAGGGTGTGTTGAGGTCTGTGCTCACGGGCATCTCTGCTCAGAAAGACATTGGCCCTGGCCGCCAGGGGTGGGGCCGTTGTCGCCCACAGGCGGCTCACACCACGGCCTCCGGAACCGCAGTGGGCTCCACACACCTGGGCGATCACGGCGAGCCTGAAGCCCAAGAGTGCTGACGTCTCACGTTTGCTTCCGCCGCACTCCGCGGACCGTCAACCAGAGGACACGCTGCCGTTTCGATTCCGCTGGCCTTCCGCCGGCCTCCGCCGAATGGCGAGGGTGCGCCGCAGGAGAGGCCCTCTCAGGAGCGGGCCGACAGGGGGTTCCGCAGCCATGGGGTCCCACACACAAGTGAGGCTCGGAACTTCTTGTTCAGTTCCACTCATGCTGCACAGACTGTCCGACCTGCCCCGATACGCAACACTCAACACGTAGCGTACGGATACGGATCTCAACACGTACACTGACGATGTAGGCATGACCCCATGCTTTCGCCAAAGCGTGAGCCAATACGCCGAGCCAGCACGCAACGTATTGACACAGACGTTTCAAGCACGGACGTCTTGCGTTTCAAAGAGGTCCTATCGAGGCAGCCGAGCAGAACACCCTGTCTGGGCTCCGCGCGCCGCGCGCCAGCAGCATGCTCGTGTTCGCAATTCGCATTTTGTAGTGCGGCAGCTGCGTCAGTGAGCACTCTAATGCAGCGTGCACGGACTCTGCCAGACGGGAAGGCGTCTCGCAGATGGTGCAAAGGTGAAAGGAGTTGGAGGAGGAGGAGGAGCGAGGAAGGAAGATCGAGGCACAGGGGGGTTTAGGAGGATGAGGGGGACGAAGACGCAGAGGAGAAGGGAGGAGGAGGAGCAGCAGGAAGTGCAGAAGTCGCGTACGTTGGGGGTGGGGGAGGGGACAAATGGCGGACGGCGCCAGGATAATCAGCGGGGGGACCAAGTGGAAGAGCAGGACAACGGGCTGAAGATGCATGACAAAGACGCGACGGAGGAGGAGGAGGGGGAGGAGGGGGAGGAGGAGGAGGGGGAGGAGGAGGAGGAGAAGGAGGAGGAGGAGGAAGAGGAGGAGGAGGAGGAGGAGGAGGAGGAGGAGAAGAGCGAGACGGACGGTGAATGAGGACGAGCAGGGGCAGAACGGGGGAGAACAAGTGGAAGGTTGCGAGGAGGATTGACGTCAGAGGAGGGAGAACAGAGGGAATAATAATAGTAATAATAATAATGGAATGAGGCATTCGCCAATGCATGCCTCAAACGCTGGCAAAAGTGGGCGCATCTGCTCGGCAATATACTCTGAGAGCCAATTGAACCAGGGGCGAGGGCCACTCTTGCTGGGACCCGGGTCTGTACAGCAACGAGGTGCCTGACAAGGAACGCTGCGGAGGGGGAGGTGGAGGATCTGTAAAGGAGTCTGGAAGGAGTCTTGCCGATCATGCCTTAAGGCCTATGCACAGTTTGTTCTTCCAGGACTCCGCTTCAGAATGACAAGAAGGCTGCAGAACATAGCAGAGTGGCGGCTGTGAATATCATTTCCCGAATTACGTAGGAGGCTCTGGAGAAGAGAGGGGGAAGGGAAAGAGGCAGAGGATGCAAAATGGCTGGGTGGCCTCCGTAAGGGACACTTCGCCAGCAGCGACCCCTGTAGGTCGTGGCGCATGGCAAGCATACCCGAGGGGACAAACTGCCCACTAAGGGAAAGGGGGAAATCCGCTCGTGCTTGCTGGTCATGTCCGCATACATGGAGGCCCAACTACCTTCTAAGGGGTAGGGCCAACCGACCCTCACCAAACAGCTGGGAATCGACCCATGAGGAGCAAGCGGGACTAAGATTCACGCAAGAGGAATGAAGTCCCAGGGGAAACATGCGCTGAAATATGCGGGCAACTCTGATACCCGTGCGAAAATGAATACAGCCTTGGGATGCCCGTGCATGATGACACCAACAATCGCGCACGTTGGAACAGCTGGCGGGCATTCCAAGGTGGAGAGGTGGCATGCCGCGTCAAATATTGCCCAGCCCTTCGAGGGCGAGAAGGCAGGAGCCAGACTACTTCCCAGTGGGGCTGGTCGGGCAACTCATGCCAACAGGGGAGAACAAGGACGCCTAACTTCGCGCTTTGCGCTGCGCGAAGCGCGAAGCTTGAATACCTTCGCGCTCTCGCGCCGCCCCCCAACAGAGAAGAGGGGGATGAAGAGGAATCGGAGCCGAATCGCGAAGCGCGAATTTCTTAGAGCCCTCGAGGGCACCATTGGTGAGGCTGGTCGGGAACCTCCTGGCAAGAAGGTCATGAGTGATTTGCCTTTTTCCTGGCAACTGCGCATGTCCAGCACCACGGGGAGCTGAGGAGCGGGAGCCTGAATCGCATGGGCTCCCTCCAGGAACGTTCTGTCACACCTGAGGCCGCAAGGATTATGTTGAAGATGCCCGAAGAAGGGTGAAGCACTGCGGAGGTAGAGCAAATACTAACGAGAGCCTAAGCAGTAGATAATCAACAGGGGGCACATGGTCTAGCACCTGCTGTAAAAGTGAACACCTTGGTGCGAGCTGGGACATCATTGAGCCCGCACCAGCTCGCCCTGCGTGAAGGGTGAAAATGCAAGGACGAGACCATGCCATGAAGTATTGAACGCGACCAGAGCGAAGAGTCCAAAAACTACAGAACAGAGATAAACGAAGCATCAGCCTGCCTGCAACTAATACCTGCATCGAAGGAGTGCGGTACAAAAAAAACATGCCCATACATCAAGTGAAGGCCTGCGTACGCAACGTACATGAGCTGGCTGGAGTGAGGCTTCGCTCTCCAGCTGGCAGAGTCTGACGAGGGAGTGAGCATGCAGCAAAAGCCCTGCTCAATTGCGTGTGAACGTTGCGACAGATGGAAAGCACAAGAGAAACACATCCAGGCGTTCGTGAATGTGCAACACGTGTGAGATTGCACATGGGCAGCCTCGACTGTATATGAATATCGCAGCCCCATGGTGCAACATCATCGGAGAGAGAGAGAAAGGGACGAAACGCTATTGAGCTCGACAGGAGCCCTTTCCTGGTACGGACGGGCAGCGATGAACCGATCCGTACGAAGTATGGCTCTGCATTGCATGTTGACAGGATCGGGCGAGCAAGTGCGGCCGCCCTTCAAGAAGTGCATCAAATGCCAACTGCGCTTTAGGGACTGCGCCCTGGCAACTGTCGCCCTGGCACTGAGAAGAGTGGCAGCAACTGCGGAAACCGTGTCGGCCGAGGGAGAGGCGAAGGCCGATGACGCTGGGGTAGGAAAATTGACTACAAGGGCAAGAAAAGCAAAAATGCGCTGACAAGACGGAAGGCCTTAGCTATGGGAGAGGCGAGGCGGGAGGGGATGTGAACATGCCCTTCGGCATACCGGAGTCCGCCACCTGGGCGCGCCGGGAAAACGCCTGGTCCTCCACAGCCTGCGCGAGCGCCCTGCCCTGCTGCTGAGATTCCGCGAGGAACACCTGGTCATCCGTACTCTCGGCCGCTGCCGTGGGCTGGATGTTGGCGGTCTGAATGGTCTTGATGCCTCCGTCCTCAGAGGTGCTCTCGTACGTCCTGCCTCCCTACGTGCCAGGCCGCCGAAGCTTGGCCCTGTTACCAGGTCCTGCCATCCTCCGCCATCCTGGAGCGGTTGCGGGTGGTGCCTGAGCAGACCATGCCAGGAACGCATCTCGTTTGAGGGCGCTTCTGCGGAACTCACGTCATACTGAGCTTCCGGCGGATCCATCGGATACGACGCAATGTAACGGAACACGGTGCAGACTCCCACACCGGAGCCCTCGTTCGGGACATCCTCGGAACGTCCGCCGGAGATGGGCCAAAAATGCTTCCTGCACCGCTTTGGAGGGTCAAGAGTACTCCCTGCACCGCGATCGGGACGAGAACTACATTCTCCCTCCCTACAAACATGTGTATACATGGTTATTTGCGTGCACATGTGTGTATATATCTATATATATACACACACACAAATACACGTGGACTGGAATCATCACCCGGCCCGCAGAGCAACCGGCAAGAAGCGAGCGACTTGGCAGGGGCGGTGGGGCAGCAGCCCCGACGCTCCACCTCCCCGAGGGCGCGGGGCCTGCCCTGGGGGCACCCGTGCCGCAGCTCGGGCGGGGCGCAGAGGACCCCGCCGGGTCGGAGGAGGGCGGCGCGAGGCACGGTCCCGAATGCCCTGGCGCCGGCGCCCGGGATGCCCTGCGGAGCCGTCTCGAGCTCGAGCCGAGATGTCTGCGGCGGGGGAGACGGGATGCAGGAGGGATATCTGAGGGCAGAGAGCGAGAGGCAGAGAGAGAGAGAGAGATAGAGGGAGCGAGAGCGAGAGCAAGCGGGAGAGAGCGAGAGGGGGGGAAGAGAGAGAGAGAGAGGTAGACAGAGAGAATGATAAAAGGTAGCTTGTATATGTATATGGATACGATCGACGGGGGGGGGGGAGAAATACATAGAGAGCTAGGAAGGGGGAGGAGAAAGAGAGAGAGAGAGAGAGCGAGAGAAAAACAAAAGACAGAGAAAGAGAAAGAGAGAGAGAGAGAACGAGAAAGAGAGGGAGGGGGAAAGAGAGAAAGAGGGATACACACATATACATATATATATACATGTATACATATACATATATATACAGACATTTATTTATATATATAGACATCGAGAGAGAGAGGCAAGATGCGGAGGGAAACGCAGGAGAAGGATGGCGACGCGAAGGGGCGAAGGAAAAGGGTGAGGAGGGACGACGAGGGAGGACGAGGATGCTGAGGAGCAGCAGGATGGAGGAGGACCAGGTGCCCCCGACCCTCAGAGCGAAGATGTCGACCCGCGGTGCCCAGCGGGAGCGCCCTCGCAAGGCCCACCGGCCCTCGCCATCGCTCGGACGTCCATTCCCTGTGTTTGTTTCGGTTTCGTGCGTGGCTTTTTCGCCAAATGATCAAGGATGCTCCTCGATGGTCCTCGCCAAAGGAAAAATTGCACACGTCCGAGCGATGCCAGGGGCCTGGCGGGCGCGGGGGCCTTACAGAGGTCGCCCACATGGGATTCTGGAGCAAGCGGGGTCGGAGGTTCGCACCGCATCTGGGAAAGCATGTGCGGTGGATACGAGTAACTCTATCTGGGCCCCCTGATGCGCGAGTGTGCACCACCCAGAATCTACGAAGATCGTATTCCCAGGCGGTGGATCGTAGCATCGCCGATGCATCGACGATACATCGGCGACGTCGGGATGGAGAACATCGGGATCTGGACCTCTCCGCAGTACTGATCCATCGGCCATGCGGCTGGATCCTCTGATCGACACGGCTGGAATGGGTACGGACACGTCGGGCATGACGCCCAGCAACATATGCGGCTCAGAACCGACAGCGGCCGTTGCTGGGCAGGCGACCGATTCGTCCTCGATGAATCACGTCCGCGACGGTACCGACAGCGATTCCTGCTCAAGATGACTGGAACTGCTGTCGGCCTCCGTCCCCGCTCTTCCTGCACCCATTCCGCCCCCGCCGACCTGGTGCCATCTGCTCTGGCCCCGTGCGCGCGGCCTGGAGCGCGAGGGGCACGGCTCACATAGAGGCCTCCTGGATGGGGTCCGAGCAGATGGGGTCAGAGATTCGCGCAGCATCGCCGGTGCATCGGCGATGCATCGTCGATGCATTGGCGATGCATCTGATGCATCGGCGACGTCGACGTGAAGCAAATCGGGCTCCACATCGATCCGCATCGCCGATGCCTCGGCGATGCGGCGCGGTCCTCCGACCCCAAATCAGATGAAGAGCATGGCTGGCCGCATCCCCATGCTGTGGAAGGACGGGCCGCACTGGGACACCGAACTCAGCAGCATCGCCGGCCTCTGCAGGGGCGTTCCAGAAAAGGCGACTGGCAGCTGCGCCGGCGACGGCGCTGCAGTCGGCGGCGGGGCCGACGGGGGGTCCGCGTCCATCTTGATGTCTCTGAGAACCTCTCGGGGCAGACGAAGTAGGAGGGGATGGCAGTGGGGGGTAGTAAGCGTGGGGCGTCGCTTAATGGCGGGGGCGATGCACGGAGTGGGGGTAGAAAGGTGCACTCTTCGGGCCCTCAAGGCCCCTCCTTTGGGCACCTTTTCTGCAGCCGCCCTCGTTGCCCCCCCCGATTTATCGTCCCCCCCTTACGCGACGCCCACAAACGAATCGGCTGCACGCGGCCAGGCTTCTCGGGCGCCTCCCGGCGCTGGGTGCGGCAAGGCGTCCACGAGCGCGCTGGGCGGCGGGGCCGAAACCAGCTGCGTGCAACTATTCTCGTAGCCCGCCCCTTCCCTCCCATGTGGCGAGGCGGGAATGTGTCCATAACCATCGCCTGGGGGATCAATCTTCGAGGACCTCGACATGCGGTGGACATGGATATACTTGCCCCCTCCCCGAGGCCCCAATATATCTGCCCCTGATTGGGGCCCGCAGCCTGCCGAGGTCCACGAAGACTGATCCCCCATGGGGATTGGTTTTGGATAAACCCCGCCTTGAAGCCTTGCGGCTCCCGTCCGCCCCGAGCCTTGTTGAGTTCCCCGTCCACGCTGGCCTTGATCAAGACGTCCGCCAGCTGCTCCCGCAGATCCGCGATCCTGTCCACGGCCTGGGGCGGCGCAGCCTCCGCCTTCGGCGGAGGGCCCTCGCCCAGCACCACGGAAGGGTCCTCCCCTGCCTCCAGCCTGGCCTCCAGGGCCGTGAGCTCCCTACAGCCGTCGATCAGGGTGTTGACCTGGGCAGCCTCCGAGCAGCCGAGGCGGGTGTGGTTGGACAGCTCCCAGAGCTGGCCCAGCTGCCGAGCCTGGAGTCGCAGGCCCATGCACCGTGCCTTAAGCTGCTTCCCGTGGGCGCTGAGCAGAGGTATCCTGAGAGTGGCGCTGACGTGCAAGGCCGTCCCGATGTTGGAGGGGCACGAGTTGAGGAAGCCAAAGCGACTGTCGCATGCGTAGCCGGAGCCACTCGCCTTCAGCGACGCGCCGACCGACCGCTCGACGCTGACGAAGCGCTCGAACGCCTGCTTCAGGCCCCCGCCGGACTGGCGGGAGATGATCTTGAGGTGGTCCGCCTCGTTGACCCAGACGAAGAAGTCCCTCTCCCTGCCGACGAATACGCCGCGGCCATGCGGCCAGCAATGCCCATAGCCCGCCGAGAGCATGATCGCGGAGTCGGGCTCCTTACCGCTGCTCCCAAAGCTTTTCCCGGGGTGCGTCCTGACCTGGATTTCGAGGCGACTCCAGCTCTGGCGACGAGGGCCTCCCCCGACGCCCAGGCAGGCGAAGACAAGGGAACGGCAGCGGCATCGACAATTCCCAACTATCCTGTGGTGTTGGGTCCTCGTTTGGAAGAGACGGCGCCCCGCGAACCCTCCGTCCTCCTCCCCCCCCCTTCCCTGCTTCCATCACTGCCTCTGGCCTCCGCACTCAGCACGTCCTTATCGTCGTCACCGTCATCATCATGATCACCAACATCATCATGATCACCATCATCATCATCATCATCATCATCATCATCACCATCATCATCATCATCATCATCATCATCATCATCATCAGCATCATCATCATCAGCATCATCATCATCAGCAGCATCATCACCACCATCTTCACTATGCTCATCATCATCATCAGGACCATCATCAGTACCATCATGATCAGCAACATCATCATGATCATCCTCATCATCATCACCGTCATCATCAACAACATCATCATCCTCATCACCAACATCATCACCGTCATCATCATCATCATCATCATCATCATCATCATTATCATCATCCGCGTCATTTGAATTACCAGCATCATCATCATCAGCAGTATCATCAATACCATCACTATCATCATCATCATCATCATCATCATCAGCATCATCATCATCATCATCATCATCACCGTCATCATCATCAGCATAATCATCCTCATCACCAGCATGATCACCGTCATCATCATCATCATCATCATCATCATCATCATCATCATCATCCGCGTCATCCTAATTATCAGCATCATCAGCAGTACCATCAATACCATCACTATCATCATCATCATCATCATCATCGTCATCATCATCGACATCGCAATGCCATCATCATCATCATCATCATCATCGTCATCATCATCATCATCATCATCATCATCATTTATCATCATCATCATAATCATCATCATCATAATGCTCATCATCACCATCGTCATCCGCATCATCATCGTCATCATCAGCATCAGTACCATCACCCTCACCACGTCCCCGATCATCATCATCATCATCAGCAGCAGCATCATCCTACTCAGTATCATCACCACCGCCAACCCCATCATCATCACCAACATCATCATCATAATCATCGTCATCATCACGATCTTCATCTTTATCAGTGTCATCCGCATCATCAGCAGCATCATCATCGTCACCATTGTCTTCATCACAAACATCATCGTCAACATCAGCATCAGCATCACCATCGTCATTGCCATCGTCATCGCCATCATCAGCATCAGTATCACCATCATCATCATCATCAGCATCAGACTCAGCATCAGCATCAGCAGCAGCATCAGCAGCAGCATCACCGCCATGCTCATCATCATCATCATCATCCTCATCAGCATCAACATCAACATCATCACCCTCGTCGTCGTCATCGTCGTCATCCTCATCCTCATCATTTTTGTCATCACCATCACATTATCAACATCATCATCATCATCATCATCATACTCAACTTGACCATCATAATCAGGATCACCAACATCATCATCAGCAGCAGCATCATCGTCTTCGTCAGACGACGAACCAATGGCTGTGCTCGCATAGCACCAGTCAGCTATGTCGGCACACAACTCCCGCGTTTCGTAGCCCTACGGAAATCGACCGAAGGCCCAAAATGCGGCGCCCGCGTGCGCTCGCCGCACCCATCTCGGCGCGTCCCTCACACGCGTCGTGGCCCCGTGGGGAGCTCCACCGAAGGCCCAACAGACAGCGCCCGCATGCGCCCGTCGCGCCCATTTCGGCACACCCTTCGCATGTTTCGTGGCCCCCATCCGGAGCTCCTCCGAAAACCCAAGTGGCTGCGTTCGCATGCGCCAGCCGTGCCAATTTCCGGCACACCTCTCACATGTCTCGTGGGCCCCATGAGCTCCACCGGAAACCCGAAAGGCAAGGCCCGCATGCGCCCGCCGCACCCATATCGGCACATCCTCACACGCTTCGTGGCCGCATTCGGAGCTCCACCGAAGGCCCAAACGGCAGCGCCCGCATGCACACGCCGCAACCATGTTGGCAAACCCCTCACACGCTGGGTGGCTCCATACACCGAAGGAGCCAATGACTACGCTCGCACGTGCCCGCCGCACCCATCTCGGCACACCTCTCACATGTTTCGTGGCCCCACAGGGAGCCCCACCGAGGTCATAAAAGGCAGCGCCCGCAAGCGCCCGCTGCACCCATTTCGATTTCGATACACCCCTCACACGTTGCGTGGCCACCAGAAGGGGGCTCCACCGAAGGCCTAAATGGCAGTGTTCGCAGGTGCCCGCAGCACCAATTCCGGCACATCGCTCACACGTTTCGTGGCCCCAGTGGAAGCCCCACCGAAGGGCCCAGTGGCTACGCTCGCATGCGCCCGCCGAACCGGTTTCGGCACATCCCTCACACGCTTCGTGGCCTCCACAGGAAGTTCCACCGAAGGCCCTGGAGGGAGCTGCACCGAAGGCACCAGTGGCAGCGCCCGCGTGCCGCCGCCATCTCACATTGGCACACCGCTCACACGCTTCGTGCTTCCACAAGGAGCTCCACCGAAGACGGTACTCACGACTGCGGCACGCACCGCTGCAGATGGCTGGGTACTTCGCCAGGCTCATTTGCTATTTTCCATTGCTGGATGAACCTCTGAAGCTCTCCGCCGCCTCAGGCGGTGTGTATTCAGAAGAACAGGAGCGCAGCAGAGCCCCCCCACACACCGCGGCATTGGCGGTGCAGCTCCGCACGCATGCCACATGCCCGAACGAGCAAGAGCACAGCAGAGCCCCAGGACAGCGAGACGTTGACAGTGCAGCTCAGCACCAGCACGGTGGCATCGGCAGGCCGGGGAACGGCAGCGGACCCATCCCTCCCCAGAGCCTCGAACAGGAAGCCGGAGGCGCGCAGCTCCTGCTCGTCGCTCTCGCTCGTGCCCCCGGGCTGCGGCACCCACGAGCCCGAGCCCCGCAGGGGGTGGTAGGCCCCCTGGCAGGAGAGCCCAGGATCGAACCGATAAGTCGGATCTGCGATGGGAGTGGATCGGATCAACGGAGATCGGCAGCAAGGTCGGGAGAAGTCGAGTCAGCAGGAATCGGCAGGCTGGCCTCTAGCGAGCAACCAGAATCCAGATCGGAATCTGGAGCCGAACCGGATCGGAATCGGAAACCATCGGCATCGAATCCAATCGAGAGGGGGGAATCGAAATGAGCCCTGCAGCCTGGAGGCCGCCGCCCACCACCAGCGCGCGGGACAGCAACCGCTCCGCCTCGCAGAGCTCCTCCAGCGACGCGGCGGGGGGCATCCGGAGGCCGCCCGAGAGGCTGCGGCTCCCTTGCACCTGAGAGGCCTCCTCCTCATCCTGCTCCTCCTACTCCCTTCCTGGCCCCCCCCCCCGACTCCTGCACCTAGGAGGCCTCCTCCACATCCTCCTCCTCCCTTTCCGTGCCCCCACCCCGACTCTCCTGCTCCTCCTCCTGCACCAATGAGGTATGAACATGTGGCTGTCGCCTTAGCGCCGCGCACATCCGTCTTAAAAGCGTGCAGCAGCTTGACGGATGAAAGGTGGCTGGTTGTCAAAATGTGGGTCTAGCGCCGCGTACATTCGATTTAAGAGTTTGGAGCAATTCCAAGGGTCTTCGTGGCTAACATACCAAATATGGTGCTTCGGCACGATGTCGGACTGTCAGGGCGACGTTAGTTGTTGTGTCGAAGTGCCAGGAGAGGGTTTCTGGCACGAGTCAGGATTGCCAAGGCGCGACAGTAACGGTGATTTGCGGCCCCAGGCATGGTATTCTGGCACAGTCCTGGATTCTCCCTTGGCTGTCTGAAAACAGGGCACTTCCCTCAGTGAAAATAACCCTTGCAGGGCCGATGAAGAGGAAACTTGGAAGAAGGGATCCCTGCAATTTTGTTGATGAGCCTTGGGTTTAGACTGGTCCTCCTCCTCCTCCTCTTCCTGCTCCTCCTCCTCCTCTTTTAGAGAACTAGACGATGACATAAACCTAAGAGCCCGGTGGTCCGCGTAGAGATCTTGGACCGGAGCTGGGCCCTCCCCCCTGGCGCGCAGAGCGCGCTCCCAGGCGCGTGGAGCGCGCCAGGGGCGGCGCCGCAAGCGCCGCCAGGAGGGGTCCAGCGCAAATCCAGAAATCTCATGCTCGTGCTCGTCCTCGTGGCCGTGATCCCGTTCACCCTGGCAGAAGGACATACTAGTACGATGCGCGGATGTTGGACGCGCACGCCCGACAGGAATATGTAGCACGAGCGCTATACAATATGTCGTTGCCAAGGCTGTATGGATTGAGTGCGCCCGCCACCGAGTATGTCAGAGTGGCGGGGCCGAGCGGTCATTCACTGTCCGTGGGTGCGTGGCTGAAGTGGGATTCCGCGGTGCGGACTGTTGAGCTCTCATGTCAAAAAGAAGTTGAGCCCCCATGCCGGGTAACCACTGCATTTTCCAGTTGAAGTGCTTCTCCCAGGGCTCCCACCCTGCTTTAAACAAGGGAAACAGAAGGGGCACCGCACTGGGCTCCTGGTCCCCGAATTCCAACAACAACAACGGATCCCGCCTGATACGTTCTCACAGCGTAATCCCAGATCGCTCTCTCGCGCGGGACGTCTTCGCGATCTATACATCTTCGCGATCTATACAGGAATCGCGCTCTCGTGTGGGACTTCTTCACAACGTATTCAAGCGCCGCGCCCTCGACACTCAAAAATCAGACTCTCGCTACTAATTTCCCCACGATGTATTTGGACAGCGCGCTATCGCTCGACACTTCCGTGCGGTGCATGCACGACGCACGCTTCAGCAACCCGCTTGCTCGACCTGGCCGCCTGGGCCCGCCGTCCCGACCCGCCCGCTAAGGTCTACCCGCTCGATCAGCCCATCTGATTATGCCACGTGTTTTTTGTTCCTGGCCCCCTCTCCTGCTACTCTCTCTCTCTCTTTCTCTTTTGTCTTTCTCGCTGTTTTGTTTTCTCTCTCTCTCTCTCTCTCGCGTTCCATCATCCTCCCTTCCCATTGTCCATTCCTTCAATCCGTCCTCCCATCCCCTCCCTTAGTGGCTGCACGTAATACGCGTTGCCAGTAATAAGAATACCCACAAAAAGGGTACCGTCGAAGACGAAGAGGGCGGGTATCGAGGGTTGGGGACATACGCGTTGAATGGCACGCGCGCAGATACGCTCAAGCATTATGAAATGATTGCTGCTGTTGGTGGTGACGGCGGTGGTTGTGTGGGCATTGAAACAACCCAAATTGATAATTATCGTTGACCCCCCATGCCGGGTAACCACTGGATTTTTCACTCACATTGCTTCTCCCGGGGCTCGCACACTGTTCTTAATTAGCAAGGGAAGCTGAGGGGGCACCACACTGGGCTCCTGGTCCCCGAATTACTACAACAACGGATCCCGTCTGATACTTCCTCACAGTGTAATCCCAGATCGCGCTCTCGCTCGGGACTTCTTCGTGATCTATACAGGAATCGCGCTCTCGTGTGGGACTTCCTCGCAAAGTATTCAAACGCCGCGCCCTCAAGACTCAGGAATCACACTCTCGCTGTGGATGTCCCCACGATATATGTGGACATCGCACTGTCGTTCGACACGTCCTCGTGAGTCATGCACGACGCACGCTTCAGCAACCCGCCTGCTCGACCTGGCCGCCTGGGCCCGCCGTCCCGACCCGCCCGCTAGGGTCTACCCGCCCGATCAGCCCGTCTGATTATGCCACGTGCTTTCTGCTCCCAGCCCCCCTCCTGTTAATCCCTGCCGTGTTCCACAATCCTCCCTCCGCCTTGTCATTTCCTTCCATCCGTCGTCTCTTCCCCTGCGTTGGTGGCTGCGTTGGTTCCCCGAGTGGGTTTGACCGAAAACGAAAAGTGCGGGTATCGGGGGTTTGGGATATACGTGTGAAATGGCCCGCGAACATATGGGAGCGAACATTATTACAATTATTGCTGCTGGTGGTGATGCTGCTGTTGTTGCGCTCTCACCCTTGAAGAACGAGTATAGTGAGTCACCCTTCATCAGTGCACATTATGTTTTTCAATGAAAGTGCCCCCCAGCAGGGCTCGCACCCTGCTTCTAATTAGGGGGATGTCGTTTGGGCCCCTCCCTGACTACAACAACAACAGCAACAACGACTCCCGCCTGATACATCGCCACGCATGGTTTCACATTCGCGCTCTCGCGCGGGATCTCATCACAACTTGTGCAAGATTCGCGCTCTCGCACAGGAGCCCCTTGCAATTTATTCGGGCGACGCGCCGTCGACAGTCAGGAATCACGCGTTCGTTTTTGCCTCTCGCGCGATAAAATTTGGACATCGCACTACCGTTCGCGATTTCCTCGCGATCCATGCAAGATTCACGCTTGAGCCTCCCGTTTGCTCGACAAGGCCGCCCGGGCCCGCCCGCCAGGGTCTGCCCGGCAAGATCTGCCTGTCTGGTTCTGCCACGTGCTCTCTGCTCCTAGCCCCCCTCCTGTTAATTTCTCGCATGTTCCCTCCTGTTTTTGTCCCCTTTCATCCGTCGTGTCTCCCCGTCTTTTAGAGGCTGCGCCACATGCGCGCGGTAAGAAAAGGAAGATATAACCCCAAGGGGGCACGGTCGAACACGAAGGGGGCGGGTACTGAGGGTGTGGGATATACGTGTTGAGTGGCGCGCGAACAATGAAGAGCGAACAGTCTTAGAATGGTCGTTGTTGCAGTTGTTGGTGGTGGGTGTTGTTGATCCCTTTTCGCCGGTGACCACTGTGTATGATCCATGGAAATGATTACCACGGGGCTCGCACCCTGTCGTTTACAGAGGGAGAGCGAAGTGTCACCAAACTGTGTTTTTGGCTCTTGGCTTGCAACAACAGCGGCTCCCGCCGGATTTTCTCACAATGTATTCCCACATCGCGGTTTCGCGCGGGACTTCCTCACAATGTATGCTGACATGGCGCAACCGATAGGAGACGTTTGTATCCTCGGCCGCCGAGGGCGCAACCTATGGCGCAACGGATGGGAAACGGTGATATGTCCTACCGCCGACCCCCGAGAAAAACTATGAGGGTCATGCAACGCACCGCGCAGGCAAAGCATCCACGACATGTTGTGTCTTCCATCAACACGCACCTGCACCATTGCAGATTCTGGCGCTAAGTTGCACATGCGGTTGGTGTCAATGGTGGCTGATGTGTGGGAATCTGTGCGAAGTGGACCCCAGACACAATTCACGCGCTCCGCGGTCTTCTCGCGTCCACTTCACGTCGACGGACCTCGAGCGCGTGCGTTTAAATTTTCGCAGCCCTGCAGCGTCAAGATGTCTATTTTCTCGCCTCGCCACGCTACCCACTCCCATGCAGCATCCGGTCAGCGAGGCGCCCTGCGCCTCGTTGCATTTCGATGAGTTTCCCGCTTCGAGCGCGACACGCGTTGACTTCGCCACGGACGTTCCCACGCTTCCAGCTGCTGGAAGAGATCCCGGCGGCGATCCCGCAAAAGCTGCGACACCTTTCTCGAGCGCGAGCTCAAACTCTTAACGCTACATCCACGGTGCCTTGCACACACCTGCTTTGCGCATGCACGCGCGCGAGAGAGCAGGAGCGCCCAGTCGCTTTCGATCCACGCGCGGGCTCGCCCCCGCAAAGTACGCCAAAATGGCAATATCACACGCTGGGCAAAGACTAAAAGGGCTTTCGGCTGCCATATCCTCCCTCCGCCCTCTTCTCCTTCCTTCTCTCATCGACGTCATCGACGTAAGAGCCCCGGCCCCCTATGACGCCCTCCGCTGGCCTGGGTGGTCCACTCAGGCCGCGGGCGGGGAAAGGGGGGGTGGGGTCTTCCTCCCCCAAACAGCTTGTACCTCGTCGCCACTGGGGGAGGGGGGTGCACTGATCCCCCGGATGGGCACACCCGCCCAGGAGCTCTCGACCCCATCCCGCGCCCTTCTCCGTCCTTTCCCTCCCCCCCCCCCTCGCATTCCATTGCCTTCGGCATGTCCGCCATCGGCCGCTCTACCGAACACATACTATCGATCTCACGATCGGATGCACATTGGCACAGTGGGGTCTGGCGAGTTTCGCATCAACCGTCCTTTCTACGATGCAGAGGGCGCAACCTATGCCGCGGTCCTAGACGAGGACGACGAGGAGCTGGAACAGGTGGAAGTCAAGGAAGACGAGGAGGATGAGGAGGCCGAGGAGGAGGACGACGACGACGATCAGAATGGGGAGGAGGACGGGGAGGAATACGAGTAGTACGAAGACGAAGTGCGGGCATTCCAATACGTGAGGGGCTACGCCCGATTTCTGCTCGCATTTTGGGCTGGCTTCGGGGCCCAACCGACGAGCTGTCTTGTAATTGTTGTTGCCGTTGTTGTTGCTGCTGTTGTTTGGTGTTCGTTGCTCGTTGTTCGTCGTTTGTTGCCGTCGTCCTTCCGGCGACCCAGCCCGCGACGCACACGCCGCCCACCCCGCGACCCACCCGCGACCCACCCGCGACCCACACGCGACCCACCCGCGACCCACCCGCGACCCACCCCGCGACTCACCCGCGACCCACCCACTTGCTTTGACAAAAATCGGGTCCTGCGGCGAGCTCGCTGTATCATTTGATTTAAAATCGGCGGCTTCGGCGGGCTTTCCTCGCAGGCTGCCGACGACCCAGCTGCGCCCTCACTCTTATCCGCAACTGTGGGGTGCTACAAACTATGATGTTTCTCGGCGCGCACGCGTTGCCCCGGGGGGGGGGGGGGGGCGACGCGCATACACACAGACATGTTACAAGTATGTCTTGTTGATGCCGACTAACAAAGGCCTCCTAGATGAGGTCCAAATAGATGGAGTCGGGGGATCACGTCGCATCGCCGGTGTATCGCCGATGCATCGGCGATAAAGTGAGATCCTCCGACCCCATCGACTCGGACCCCATGTGTGAGGCCTAGAGCACCTGCACGGAGACCACGCGGGATCCGGAGGCGTCCAGGGGCAGGTCGCTCACCTCAAGGGAGGGCGCGAGTTGAGACCACGGCAGCTGGCCTTCGAGGGGGCCCCTCGTCGCCACGGCTGGACGTGGCTCGGACGGCTGGTGCGTTTCGGCCCAGGGGGGGGGTCCAAGGACCGATTCTGAGCTGCCGTTCGCTCAGCTCGCCCTGCCCCGATCACCCCGGCACTGTCCAGATCCGCCGCGTGGCGCGAGCCCCGCGCGAAGCTGGCGTGCAGCTGGTGGATGACCGGCTCGAAGACGTCCCCGAAGACCCGGAAGCAGGACTCGTCCCCTGCCGCGAGGCCCACGGTCCGCACCAGGGGGTGGCCCTTGTGGTCGATGCCCGGCCTCATGCACTGGGCGAGCGTCACGCCGGCTGCCGAGCGAACCGACTGCAGACGGGAGCAGACCGACGGGTCCGACCGGAGCACCGTCGCCAACACGCTGTGGTGGCCCGACAGGTCGGGCAGGCACGCCGACCCGTCGGCCGGGAGCCGATCCCCGAGCCCCCCGGCAGCCCGCTCGACGTCGGCTGGCTCGGGCGCAGATCGCTGCTCTGGTGGCGGCGCCACGGGCGCGACGGGCGCCGGCGGGGTGGCGTCGCCGCTGCGCAACGCATTGCAGAGGAACTCCGTCGGGTCCGCGGGCTGCTCCTTGAGGAGTGCCTTCACCACCTCCGACAGCCGCTCCTCGAGGTTGTGCTTCGTCAGGTAGTCGCCGGCCTGGCTCTTGAGGGCCTTTACCCGCGCCTCCCTCTGCTTCTTGGAGGAGTCGTCGGCCTGGGATTGCACGCTGACCCTGAGCCTGACGCCCTGGCAGCTCGGATCCTTGCTGGTGACCGCAACGTCGTGGTTCGACCTCACGTCGGGGTCCGCGGTCACGGTGCACGTCCCGATGTGTTGGTAGATGTCGATCTTTGCATTGCGCCTCCTGTCGACCTGGGGGAAATGATAGCACCTTTGAGGCTCATATCGGCCCTGCTTCAATGTGTCTCCGATGCGCACGCCCACCAGGCAGCCGCTGGGCATGCTGCATCCCTCTGCGGCTTCGACCCGCAAGTCCATCGCCGCAGCCCTGAGCAGCCCAAGGGGGGGCTGGCCCTAGCTTCGGGGGGGGGGGGGGGAGGGCGCGAAACAGGCAGCCTCGACGGGTTGGGAGCAAATTCGCTACGGAGGAGGAGGGAGTACGAGGACTGACCAGTTACAAGGATCTGATGGCAACTCGAGCCGCTCAGTGAACCTGGCGCGATCCAAACCAGGGTCCCTGTCTTCCGGGCAATGTCTCCTGGTAACATGGCACGACATACCGCAGCATATACATCTATACATGTAAATGTCTGCCTGTGTATGTATATACGTGTCTTGATATATGATCCCAGGTCCAGGGTTCACAAGCCCCCCCCCCTCCCCGCCAGATGGGAAGGGTCCCAGGGTTTCACACGCCCCCCCCCTCCCCCCCCAGATGGGATGCGGGGGGGGACGACGGCGAGGCCGACGACGACGACGACGACGACGACGACGACGACGACGACGACGACGACACTGACAACGACGACGACGACGACGACGACGACGACAACGACGACGACGTCGTCGGCACCACCAGCAGCGGCGGCGACGACGTCGAGCACTGGAGCTGTCAACATGACGCCAATCACAGCCACGCGCCACACCCACACCGCACCCACAGGGGGGGAGGGGGGGAGGAGGACCATGGCGCCACCCCGCACACACCCACACACACCCACACCACATCCACAGGGGGGAGGGGGGGGAGGGATCCATCGGGGGGAATGGAGGGGAGGCCCGATGACATACCCATTGGGGGAGAGGGGAGGGGGGGGGGCAGACCCTGGACCATATATCCGCCACCGCGTCTCTGGACACGGAGTAGGCGTGCCCTCGGGCCCTTTGCCCAATCCTCTACGCCTCAACTCTCGCTTGCGAGGAGTCTTGAAGGGGCCAAGGCCTAAATTCCGATATCTCCTGGGGCTTCCCGCGCGCCCCCTGGGGGCTCCCGCGTGCCCCCTGGGCTCCCCAGCATCTTGCCGCGTGACTTGTTCGGGCCAACGCGGGCCCCAAGACTGGCCAAGAGGGCCCCGCGAGGCCCCCAATACGGTACAAGAGGGCCCCGAGACGCCTAAAGATCGGCCCAAGACGCCCACGATGGCCCCAAGATGGCCTAAGAGGCCGCCAAGACGCCCCAAGAGGCCTCCCAAGAGAGCCCAAAGAGGCAAAATCGTTCAGCGGCCGTAAACTGTTTGATAGATTTGACGTTCCCAGCCTTTCGACGCTCCAAGACGCCCCAAGAGGCTTCACAAGAGAGCCCCAGGAGGCAACATCATTGAGCGGTCATAAACTGTTTGATAGATCTGGGCGTTCCCAGCCTTTCGACGCTCCAAAACGGCCCAAGAGGCCTCCAATACCACCCCAAAACGGCCCAAGAGACTTCCAAAAGGGCCCCCAGACGGCCTGAGAGCGCCTGGAGGTGGCCCAAGATGCGCCCAAGACGGCCTGAGAGCGCCCGAGACGGCCCCAGAAGGCCTAAGAGAGGGTACGCGAACCGAAAATTCAAGCCTTCCGCCTCGAGAAGCCCCCAGGAGGCCTCAACAGGCGCCAAAGAGGCCCCAAGAGGCCCCCCAGAGGCCCCAAGAGGGCCTCGAGGAGGCCCACAAGAGGTCCCAAACGCCCCCCCAGAGGCCTCCAGACTGCTTCCAATAGACCCCCGAAAAAGGTCCCCCCCATGATAGTTCAACGAATATCCACTAGGCTTCATACTCACAGCCCAGGCACTGTGGCGTGATGGGCCGAAAGGCATTCAATACTACTATGTGTCTGTGTGTGTGGCTGCACGTATATATCCTTATAGCTTTGCATAGGTGTGAATATGGATGCACACGTACATAACATTGTTTATATATGCATATTACACATGTGTGTGTGCGTGTATACATTTACACACGCATATATATATATACATATATATACACATGTGCGCTCACCCCAAACAAGGTTTCTAACAAAATGCAATGTGTACTATGAATATGGATATATATATATACATGCGTATGTATATACACATACTATATATAAGCATACACCTATATACATACAACTATGTACATATATAAATATGCACGTACACAATTGTATATTATCTGTGTCAACATACGTGGTGCAATCTATTTGGTTTTATTCAATGCCAACAACGAACTGTCAAATGTCATGATCTGGCAAACCTCCCACCCACCCACCCGCATCTTGGTTTGCAAAAGCCATGCGGCGGCGATTGCGATGAGTGCTTGGCGCTGACTGGTGCATCTCCGCGGCCGCGCCAGCCCGTGCATGCACACGCGCACAATGGCCAGCTAGTCTGGCGCGACCGACGCGGCCGCGGTGGCGCTGACCGCGGGGCACTGCCCACCGGGCATTTCAATGCGAGTTGCTGAGTTGGGCGAGCGCGGTATCATGGCGACGCCGACATCGGTAGACACGATTATGAGGGTATCGATGATGGTGACGATGGTGTGGCGATGGCGACGGCAAGGCCACTGACGGCGCCGATGCTGATCATGCCCACCGATAACGATGACGATGTCTTCGCGTCGGCGGTGGAAAAAATTGAAAGAAATTGGACATGCGCGCGCGGCCGACGCGCGCGAGTAACCCGCGTGGTGTTATTTGACACGGATCTTGCCCCGCCCACCCCCAGCACGCGCGCAAGGGCATTCGAATAAGGTCTACATGCGGCGCGAAACGCCAGTGTGGCAGAATGTGGTGAACATGTCGCAACACTATGGTGCTGTTGAGAACCCGCAAGACCGCGAACGCAAGTGTTTCCGAAAACTGATTGGGCGAAACCGCGTGTTTTGATATGTTCTCGGGGCACTCAGTTCTCAATCTCTACGGAACCTAAGGTTTTGAAAGGACTGCGGCATGCGCGAGCGACGACGCGCGCGCGAGCACGTCGTCCCGCTTTGTGCAAGGGACTCTCGCGGCAGCACGCACGCAAGTGCGTTCGAGCGGTTTCGAAATGCGCGCGAGAGGCCCATGTCTTTGTGGGCCCCGGAAACGGCAGGGCCGTTTTCTCACCGTTTCCAAAAAAATGCCCCTTGACCATGGAAACGGCAAAAAAACGGCGACCGGAAACGGCACAAAAACGGTTCCAGGATTGGAGCCGGAGCCGGAACCGGTCAAACAACGGCGACAAAACCCGTAAAAAAACGGCGTCGGAACCAGCAAAAAAACGGCAAAACGGAACCGGTAAAAAAAATGGCCCTGTCGTTTCCAGGGCCCACTAAGGCCCATGTGGTAGCATGTTGTGAACGTGTTGGAAAAAACGATGGCGATCTTCAGAAGTCGCAGAATTGCGGGCGTTTTCCTTTTATAAACAACGGTACGAAGTGCAAGCGCGCGTGTCGTCGCGCGCGCATGCAGAAACCCGTCCAAAACCCAAGGTCTCGTAAGGATTTCAAAACCGAGTGCCCCGAAAACATAAAAAAAATCACATAGTTTCGCAACAACAATTTTCAAAGAATCCTGCGCTCGCGCTCTTGCGATTGCGTTAAAGCACATCGGCCTTTTTGGCAATTTCGATGCCATTCTGCCAAACGGACCTCTCGCACCGCATGCCGAAATCATTAGAACGCCATTGTGCGCGTGCTTGGTGGGGCACGATTCGTGTCGAATAATACCATTTGGCCGCTCTCGCGCGTCGGTGGCGCGCGCATGTCGACTCCGAACTCCTTCCAATACTTTCATCACCCTCATCGTCGTCGGCGTTATCAGCATCGGCGCCGTCAATGGCCGTGCCGTCGTCGGTGTCAACATCGTCACCAGCATCGCTGATATCATCATCATGTCTACCGTTGTCGACGTTGCCATGATAGCGCGCACGCCCAAGTCGCCGACTCGCACTGAAGTCGCCGGCGCTGCCCCTCCCTCCCGGGGCGCCCCCGGCGGAGGTCGAGGCTCTGGAGCCGGGGGTCGGGCGGCTCGACGCTTTACCTCCCGGGGCGCCCCTGGTCGAAGGCGAGGCGACGCCGACCCCGCGCGGCTACGGCGGGCGCCCTCCCTCCCGGGCCTGGCCCGGTGGAGGTCGGGGTGGAGACGGCCCGGCGGCAGGGGTATAGCTCCACGCTCACCTCCCGCGGCCCCGGGCCCCGTTGAGGTGAGCGCCCCCCCTCCTGGGCCAGGCCCGGTGGAGGTTGGGGAGGCGGCCGCGGGGCGGCCGGCGGTGGAGCTGCCGGCGGCGGTGGCGCAGTTGGCGCCTGGACCGCCCGGTAGGGGAGGCCACCGCGGGCCTGCTGGGAGCCCCGGCGGGCGGCAAGCTCCGGCAGCTACGGCGTCGCGTCGCGGCTGGCGTGGCCCGCGTGGGTGGCGGCGAGCTCGCGGAGCTCACGGGCGCCATGGCGGACGGCAACGCCAAGGCGGCGGCCTGGGCGCTGCCAGGCTGGGCCGGGACGTGCGCCCCGCGCGGGCCGGAGCGCAGGCGGCGGGCGCTGGCCGACGGCCGCGCCGGCCCGCTCGCGCTGCTTTTGCAGTTGCCTCTCCTCCTTCCCCTTCCCCTCCCCTTCTGCTTTCCCCCATGTTCCTCAGCCACAGGTCGATTTCTCTAGCGTTGATAGAAAATGCCCGCTGGGATGTGTCCAGCGGTCAGCGCCACCTCGGCCGCGTCGGTCGCGCCACAACAGCTGGCCGCTGTGCGCGCGTGCATGCGCGACCGCAGAGATGCACCAGCCAGCACCGAGCACTCATCGCAATCGCCACCGCGTGGGTTTTGCAAACCAAGTTGCGGTGGGTGGGAGGTTTGCAAGAGCATGGAATGTGTCTTCTCGTTTGTGAAAATCAGCTCCACCACATAGATTGCACCGCATCGATTGCACCACTCCGAGGGATATACCCTCCCCGGGGCTAACTGTATACATCTCCGTATTGCAGCTTGCATACGCTTCTGCCCGATTGTCCATCCGACATATAAACTCATAACATCCTTGGCAGGCCAGTGTCGCCTCCTCATCCTCTGCCACAAATGAAATGCGCGCACACTCGTTCATCAAAGATCA